AGTCATTCCAAACTGTTTGTCACAGTCATTTTGTCAAATGCTAAGCAATACCAATTTCTTGATCTGCAATGTCACTGTCCACTGTACAGAGAGTCAAAGCTCAGTATTAGAGCGTCAGCTCCCAGCTTAGCTCCTGCGCGCTTACTTCATCTTTAACACCATAACCCATGAAGGAGCGACAACACTTTAATGAGCCTGTGAAGCTATATCTGAAAGGCTCAGCAGACCTTACAAGGACGAAGGGTCTGCTTGTTACTGTTGCCCTTATTTGCCCTTATTTATGGAGTTTGTTCCATTGAGAACCCATTATTCTTACTTGAGTGAGAGTTCAAGGTGGGACAAGGAACACAGGCTGTGCAAGGCAAGATAAGAGTTGGATGATCCCACAGGGTCCACACTATGAATCGGTGGACAAGACTACCACACCTTTCTTTCAAGGTACCATGGAGTCCCAAGACAGCATCTGCAAGTGCACAGACATATGGCCAAGCAAGAGAAGGGTGTAACCAACTGCCGACTGGAACAAGTATAGCTTCTATAGTGAAAAAAAGCAACCTGCAAAAACAGCTTCTTAAGGCTGATTTAGGGTACTTTCACAATTGGCCCGAGTACTTGAGTCTACACAGAGCACCGATTCTGGGTTCGCTGGGGGGAGGAGTTCATTGTCACAAGTTCGAACCACAGACTTATTGTGCAATGCCATGCACTGGTTTTTTCTTTTGTGCATACAGATTTGCAAAATGTTAGGCACTAGGTTTATCCATGTACTGCTTTTATTGCAAGCAGTGAAGAACAGCAGTTTTTTCTTTACTTTAGCTCATCAGCTGTTTGTTCCAAACAAACAGTTTTATGAGTTCAGGCCATTTGCGTTTAAATGCCTTCTTCGCTCCATTTATCCACCGTCCACAACAATCCTTTCTCTGCTTCCACAAAACTTCAAACCAGAAGAGACATGAGAAGTCGAAGCAGTCACATTAGAAAATGAATCGATCATGCTGGCCCACATGCGACGCCACAAGCGGACAGGCTTTGCACACCGCTGACTGTGCCAGAGCTTGCTTGAGGCAAACCCCAGACCACCAATTTGAGGAAGACCAGAAATTGCTTCAGCTTTCCGTTATACTTCTGAAAAGATGTATGTAAGCCTATCCACATTGAGACGCAGAGAAGGGGCTCATGGGTAAGTGTATCTTGCAGACGATGTGCGCACCTAAAATCTCAATGCATTTGCAAATCTATGAAGTTGTGAGTAGAGCAAACTGACTGGTTATCCGGTAGTGTTGGAGTCGGAACAAGACCCAAACAATACTCAATCTGAACCTGAACTAGCGCAAAATAAAGCTGAGCAGTTTGAGGATCAGCCAGAAAAAGATGCGAAACATTACAAACATTTACACGACCAATTTGTATGCCCTGATGGTACAAAGGCAGAGAAGCGAGTATTAAATCTAGAAGGAAAAAAGGAAAAACACAAGACTTCACTCTTTGTTTTCTGTATATTCTGGTTTGGTCACTGCGCTCTGGTGTACATGTTTACATAATGTGCAAGTATGTTCGCTGACACCTATACGAACATCTGCACATGATCAGAGATATGCAAACACAGAAATATAATTATTAGACAATGTCTGCTGACCACAACTATGGTCACTAAAGTAAAGGCAGTGTGGTCATTTCCCCTCTGGTTTGACCTCAGCATTACCAGTCAAAAGGCAACAACCTTTTTTCGTTGAGGGTCATGTCAGGCCCCTCCTCCTTGCCCCCCTTCTTCAGCGATTTTAACAGCAGCCACTGGAGGTTTGGGGAAACGCTGCTGGCCAGCTGCCAGCTGAGGCCCTGTGGAAGCTGAGAACACTTCCGCCTCTTGAAACGTCTCACTTCTCTTCCTAAATCAGGGGTGAGTGACTTAATTCTGGCACTCTTCAATTCAAGCCCTGACTAACCAACATGCCCACTCTCCTCCTCGTCTGTTCTCCCCAGCTCCTCTGTTCCTTACACTTACCGTGCTCCTCCTCCACAAACCACACGCCCCACGGCTTGGTTCCTCTCTACTGTCTGCAAAGACGTTTAGGCCTAAAGATTTTTTTGGGTTCTGGGGGCTGAGTGAAACATGGAAATAGTGGCAGAACGTCTGGACTCTGTTTGAAAGCCAATCTGTGCTTCCATCTGGTTTGCGTTAGCCCAGTACTTCCCAGGAACATAGAAAACAAGCTGCTTCGAGCTGCTTTGTAGTCCATTCAGCCAATCAGGAAGTGATTTGGAGCACTTTCCTGTTTCCTCCCTGCTAGAAGCTCCTGAACCTGAGAAGCTTCCTCCAGACATGGGTGCCCTCAGGAAATAAGGCAGAGAACTCCATATACGTAGCAAAACAATCAACCACCCTCCTCTTCCTGGAGGAAGAGTAAGTTCAACAACTTAGTCCTGAGCTTTCTTATTTACTGTGTGTACCAAACACAACCTTCCACACGTACATGAAACTACATCAACTGTATGACAACACCTTTTTCAACAGCCAAGCCTGGTAAGGTATGTGGTTTTATTTCAGGCCTACATATTTCACTCACACCTAAAAAAGATGGTTCTTCAAGAGTAGTAAAGAAAATGGTTCTATATGGAACTCAGCGCATGCTTAAAGGGTTCTTTGCATCATGAAAGCGTTCGTCAAACGGATGGAGAATGTGTTGTGTATGGTTCTATACGGCACCAAAAAGGGTTTTGCTATTGTTACAAGTTTGGATGACAACAATAGAAAAACTATGCTTCAATATAAAATCTCACACAACACATTCCCCCTCAACCTGAAGAACGCTTTAAGCATGCAAAGGGCTCGTTGAGTGTTCACGGTTCCACATAGAACCCTTTTCTTTACTAAAAAACCCTTGAAGAACCATCTTTTATTTTAAGAGTGTACAGTTTCTGCTCTTCTGAATCAGAATGGTGACGTGTGCCTGAAGTCCATCTTTGAATGATGGCATATAACACTGTAATAACGTAATAATAAAAAATAATAAAAAATAAAATAATTACATAATTTTCAGTATATACCTTTGAATTCTAACACGTATTACACAGTTTCTATACCAAGCTGCACAGTGACTGCACATTTTGCAAATAATCATCCTGCAGTTTTCGTTACTGTGCTACTCTTAGTTATCTGGACAGAAAGCAAATACACAAATAGCTGGTTACTTCATGCAAATCGTGCTCATGCAACCCTTGAAGATAGTGTGCTGCAAAAAGAATGGGCATGAGAACATACGTGCACATCCAGTTCTGTAAGTAAAGAGTTTCCCCTGAAAAGGGTGTGCCTCACAAAATGTGCAATAACCACAGGCAACTAGATTTCTGTCACAGATGCTGTTTACTTCCTGTCTCGGTAAGCATGCTAATGCAAATAATGCTGTTTTACACAACACAGGACAATTTTGCAACAACACCCCGGAAGGCCAGCGCAAATGGAAGTGGTGGAATCCACAATCAAGTAATGAGCCTAAGAGATCATTTGCATCTCATTATAACTCAGGTATTACCTTCTTGCACTGAGTGAGATGTCTAACACACCAAATGTAATATCTTGCACAGCATAAATATTGCATATGGGGTAATTTCATAGCACTATTTGCAGCTTCTTTTCAGTTGTACCAATCATCAGTGCTCCTACAGGACAGTCAAAATAGGGCAAATGAAACCGTAGAATAGTGAATCCATCCAGAAAAGTCAAGCAAAATGCAAGACACCATGATTTCATAATGAATACAAATCCCAGCTGATCATCCAAGCGATGTTCATTGCCAGTGACACTTCTACTTATTTGAATGTACCGTGCATCTAGAAGAGGTCTGAGCAGTTTCGCATTTAGTGCAAAGAAACAAGGGGGCTGTTTTGATGCTCCATGACATGCACGGAGCGAAACACGTGGCTCTGCAATGTGTGGTCTTGCGGTGAATTCATCCACCACCAGTGTGTGTTGAAGCACAAAGAGCAGTGTACCCAACCTGCACACCAAGATTAGATGGTTCGTAGACCCCCAGTGCGAGGCTTGTGCTCTGTGCTGTCATCTTTGCACGTGTGGAAGGCAAAGGCGGTCTAGATATGTGACCACATGAGCGAAGAATATATCTATCAAACTCAAGCACAGCTACAGCTGGGTGGCATGTCTGGGCTCCAGTCTGATAAGGCAGATCGAGCCTCTCAGATCTGGTAGCAAGAATGCAGTCCAGTAACACAGGACTGAGATGGACATCACGCTGACCCCTCACATCTTTTCACTCAGCTCCTTCTCAGCTCAGTAATTTGATAACATACAAGTGTCTGCTAGGGTCTGTAACTGTCTGGAAGGTAAAAACAGGAACTGGTGGCTTTTTAATGAGCTCAGAGTGTGAAAATGTCTCATTTGATGTATTGGTGTAGGACAATTTATGTAAGTCTATGGAGGCTCCAGGCAGCCTCACACTCCATGTGGGAAAAGCCCAAGAGACAAAAAGAAGAGCCCTGAAAAATGAATAGACAACAAAAATATGCAGCATGTTGGTCATTCAGGAAAACAACGCCATGCATGAAAGAACACGGCTAACCGCTGACAGTCATAGCGGGCTGGAAATGAACTAACGCACAGAGGAACGTGGCTCCAACATCTGGACGAACAGCGTTTAACAGACCACATATCCAGACACGGCTTTAGCCCCCCCCCAAAAAAGCCCCAGTATAAGCTCCTCGCCGCTTGACTTGCTCCAGTCTGTACGACCACGTTCAGCCTTTATGTGCCATAAACATGATCCACATGTCGGGCTGAACGCGCTCGGAACGGAACAGCCCTGTGTGCTCAATGTAAGCTGCATTAAAGCGCGCTGCACGTTCAAATAAGAACCGGGAATTCGGCTCAAAACAGAACGTAGTTATGGAATGTGATTCGAATTTGAATGTGGAAAAATGAGCTCGCGCGCCAACGTTCGAGACGAGCCTTTCGGTGCGTTCTCTCTCTCCCCCTCAGCCGCACTCACCTATTTTTATTTTCACGCTCTGGAAAACTCGGAGACCTTCCTCTTCGACCGCCATGCTCGCAGCCTCCGGGGGTCCTTTTCCCTTTCAGGCTCCTTCGCCGTCGCTCGGACTCGTTCGCTCCGTCTCCGTCTCTAACGCTCCCGTTCCTTCCAGGCAGTCAGTCTCTGCTCGCTCCTCCCGAAGCCACAGCGAAAAATCACTCCGCTCACACTCGAGGACGAGCGCTGTCCGAGTCGTCAACGAATCGAATCTCTACAATCGGTTCTTTTTCAGTAAATCAGTCGAACCGATTCACAGGTATGAGTGAATCAGTTTGAGTTTTTTTTTCCTGCACTCGTAAAAAAGATGGTTCTTTAAGGGTTCTTTATTAAGGCTATGGTTCCATTTTGAACCATGAGTTCTATGTAGAACTATTTCATGCTTAAATGGTTCTTTGCATGGCGAAAAGGTCCTTCAGACTGATGGAGAATATGTTGTGTTCATGGTTCTATACAGTACCAAAAACGTCTCTTCTATTGTTACGATGCTAAAGTTGTAACAATAGAAGAATCGTTTTTGGTGCTATCTAGAACCATTCAAAAGGGTTCTATATAGAATTATATACAACGCATTCTCCATCTATCTGAAGGACAATTTCACCCTGCAAAGGACCAGTTAAACATGCAAATGGTTTTATTTTTCCGTGTCCTTTACTAAAGAACCCTTGAAGAATCCCCTTTTTTCTACACAATAATTAACAAACAAAATTCACACTGTATTTCACCAGTCGATAAACTGAAATAGCATTTCCATATTAAAAAATTTCAGTTTCTTTTGGCTCTCCCTTTATGGTTTGTGTTTTTTTTCCGATTCTGACTCCATCGCTGAATGAAACTAACGTCAGTGTACGATGTAATTTCACTGGCAGACGACGAGGAAAACATTTCACTTGGGAATCAGTACAACTTCAAATCAGACTTTCGATTCATTGAAATGGACGGTTCGAAAGAATCGGTTTCCCTTGAATTGAATCAAACTCAGACGGCGCCTTTGCTGATTGAACGAATGCAGGTCGACGTCACGCCGTGGACGGTCACCCATTGGCGTTGCTGAGACGCTGCTCGGCTCGTGCGCTGGTATGCAAAAGCGCTTGTTCTGATTGGTTAAAGTCTTTTTCTCAGTCCGATACTATTGGTTTCTTCAGTTAAACAGTTTTTCAGTGTGTTGATCAAAAAACACAACAAATGCGGGCTCACGTTTCGTTGCCGTGAGACTCCGCACTCATTTGGAGCTGCGCAGGAACGCTAACATGTCAACATCCCTGTAACTCACTGATTTGCTTGCTTGATTGTTAATAACCCACCACACCAGGCAGCCCTGCCGATGTACAGTATGCAGTACAGTATTCCGTAAGCTTTGTCAGTCACAGACGTACATTGACTGACTACAGCAACTAGAGGGCATGAGTCACTTAGTGAAGAGTTTTGTGAACATTTGAACGTGTAAAGGCAGTCTTAGGGTTAAAGGGCCCATATCATAGAAAAAAAACAGTTTTCCTCGATTTTTTAAATCGACGTTTGATGTTATATGTAAACGCTGTTAAAGTGTATTAAGAAATAGGCACAATATAGGCCAGCCAATCAGAATTAGTCTTGAAGGCACAGTAAAAAAAACACCCTCTTTCATTCTAAGGGCTAAAGAGAGGTTGGAAAATGGTCATATGAAATTAACTATGACCTCTTTTTTTGGTACATAAATCCACACAAATGTCACAAGATATGGAACATATATGGAAATGTAATGGAATAAATGCATAAATAAAAAAAAATAAAAAATTCAGAAGTGCAATTGATGGTTGAATGCTATAAATTAAAGCAGGAATGGCATGATCTCATTAAAAATCACTATACTGAACAGGACAGGACAAGACAGCATCGGACAGGACGAGACTTTATTCGCCAGAGCAAGATGATGTATGATGCAATGTACGTGGCACACCAATGTCTTGTGGTATTTTGGTTTATGACATCAGGAGTCTGCAGGAGTTCACTTGTTAATAGTTAAGAGGGATCAGCTTTGAGACATTGCAGAAAGGAAGGCGAGTAAATAGTAGTTCTGTTGACCCTGAACCTGAGCTTATTCCGGCCTTAGACACTGTGTGAGTATCGCATGACAGAACAGGCCTTTAAGAACTTGATTGTTCCACTTTAAGCTGGCTTTAAGCTCCCCAATTTGCCCCCACATCCAACCTGTCTGTGCCAGCAGCAGCAAAAGGAAGTGCTGACGGTTGACCGTGGCACTGGAGCTGCTCCTATTATCCACAGCAGCAGGGATTAGCACTTGACTCCTTTAAAATAGCACCCAAGCTAATTATATAGTTCCAGTCTTGCGCGTCAGCACACTTACACTCTGACCAGGGCTGCCTTCAAAATGACTTGCAAAAGCCTCCTCGGATACAAGGCCTTCATTCATACGCTTTATGGCTTCCTAGTTGGGTTCATCTGCTGTACATAGTCAAAGTTATGGTGACGTCAAAGCTCTGATGAGCTCAGAGGTGCTATAAGCAGAAGCCACATGCAAATCTACAGGAAAGATTTAAAGCTGAGGCAGATAGTAGCCAGTTTTATGGATGCACGCAGGCCCCACTTATAATAGGGGCAAGACAGCCATGTCTTTCATGCTGTTATTTTAGGCAAAGCTGTGGAGGATACGCCCTGTGGTAAACCACCATGGGTGTGTTTCTGCATGAGCGTGTGTGCTTTTTCCTACTTACTGCAGCAAGTCTGTGATGTGCAACTAAGTAATGCTTCAAACTACTACACTATGTGTCCAAAAGTATTCAGACAGCTCTTTTAATTGGTCAATCCTGCTACTTCAAGGTGCACACATTGATGATACAGATATAGTATAATCTCCATAGAAAAGCATTGCTCATAGAGTGGGATGCTGTGAAGCCACACATGAAGCATCCCACTCTATTAGCATTCCAGCATTGGATTGTGGAGCAGTGGAACTGTGTTCTCTGGACTGACAGTGCTCCATCCAGTAAGATGAGTCGGAGTGGCGGTTGTGATCCAGATCTAATCATCCAACATTGGTACCTGACCTCACTAATGCTCTTGTGGTTGAATGCAATCCAATACTTACAGCAATGTTCTAACATCTAGTCTAAAGCCTTTCCAGAAGAGTAGAGGCTTTTACTGCATCAAAGAGGAAACACACTCCTTATTAATGCTCTTCATTTCAGAAGAAACATTGGACGAGCACGTGTCTACAAATTTTTGGACATATAATGCACATCAGGTAAGTGACTGGTATTGTGTTGGGCTTATCTCTCAAGACTGGCTTCATTCTGTGGGTTTTTTGTGCGTGTCAGAGGGCGCTCTGTTGTAAAAGACTGGGGGACAGATGTTCACCCTTAAAGCTGATTAATGGAGGGTGCTCCTACTGTTTTAATACACAAGTCAAAGAGCGAGAGAAGCAGCGGGGGATGAGGGGCTAAAAATAGCGGCGCATCAATAAAAATCCCTATAGAATAACATATAATGTTCTATATGCGCTCAAATCCATTCACTCATTTATGAACACAGAGGCCTTGGACTTTCATTGGTGGTTTACAAATATTATGAATCATACTGATTATACACACCTGAAAGAAATTACTGAATGAATGTCAGAGAGAGAGAGAGAGAATTCCAGATGGAGAATACCATGTCAAAATAAGTTAATCCTTCTAGTATGAGAAAGCTGTCAGCAGGAAATCCCAGTGAAAAAATCCATAATACATTATTCATAAAGATTTCCTTGTATTGCTTTGACATAATGTCATCAAAACACAGAGATGATGTGTAGTAAAACATTCATAGAGTCAGCATGTAAAAAAGGAAAACAAATTCTGTTTCCTTAAGCTTTGAAAAAAATCTCTATTCTAAATAACCAACTGTCCTAATTTTTTCATTTGTTGCATTTCTACCATCTATACTTTGAAATGAAGACCAACTACTGAAAAACGTTAACAGTAGTGAACCAAGGTGGTCAGTATCAACCACTTTCAAGCAATCATCAGACTCATCCACTTGTGGAGGGTCTGAAGTACAACACATGCCACAAAATGGCATTTGAAGCACAACACATGCCACAAAATGTTCTTCTGCTTGCTGCATGCATTAACACATTTCCACCAGAGAGGTCTCCAAATTCCCAAGGTCTCCAAATTCCCAAAATCTTACATAGTGCAGCTTTAAACTTTAAGAGGCCCATATTCTGAAATTTTCTTGCATTTCTTCACCCTAAAGTCCACTTACTTGGGTTAATGTATCAAAAGATCTCTATATATTGTTCATTTTTACATGACCAGTTTTAATCCCTTACAATTAAACAGGCTGTTTTTGTTACTGTACCTTTAAGATTGATAATGTGTAACTGACCTTTGTTTTAAGTGGTTGCATGGTGCCCCATTTAAAAAGCAGCCTTGTCTGAAATAATCTTTATAATTTCAACAAGGCTAAACTTCTCTAGACTGAGCAGATGGTCAGTAAGTCAATGTGTTGGTATTTGTGACATCACAAAAGTAATGATTTCAAAATTGACAATTTTTGCAGCTTTGTTGCTACATATGGGTTGTATGGAGCGGGAGATGAACTGCACATTTTGAAACTTTAACAATGTTAACGTACTACATCAAATGCTTTTTTAAAACAAAAGCAAGGGAAAATCAGTTTTCTATTAAATGGGCCCTTTGAGCAGGCATTCACTCAACCCAAAGTAACTTCATTATGCTCATCTCGATTTTGGCACTTTGGTACATCCCACCATTTTGTGCAGTGCTCAAGACTGTAATTGACCTCATTCATACCCCAATCATTCAAGATTTCTGTTACTTTTGAAAAAGAAGCCTTTGTAGCTGTCCTACCAAAAAGACCCCAAATGAATACCATTTCAGTGTTTGCTACAGTCAGTCGAGCTACAGATCGCATTTCAATTTCTTTGTTTTTCATGAGCCTATTACAGATCAACTTACAGCAGCAATTAAAGCCTCACTAAATTTTTAAGCACTCTTTGTCTGCACCAGCTCCCTGGTATGTAGATATACAAGTACTCTTAAGCAGCTAAACAGCTCACAGCAAACATGTTCTCAAATGTCATGGGCCAATGTGTACAAAGAGACTTCCTTTAAAGCGCGGCAATCTAAATGAAGCAACAAACTTCAGATCAGACCACTGGTTACCGGTTCCAACATCTAGACAGGACTGCCAGGCCTGAGTCACAACATACAGCATATTCCTTTACTCATCCACTTAAAACTCAAGACATACACTTAAACACACATATTCACTCATCACACATATTTAACTGTTTACACTGCCAGAGCAGTCCAATATTTGTCAGATTAAAATGGTAAAGCTGGAGAATTGAATGTTTTTTTTTCAAATGTAATATGCTGTAGTGAAAGGGAATTTCACCTTTTTTGAAAATTTCTGTATAATTCAATGACTGAGATACAAACAAAGTAATTCAGATTGGTTTGATGTTAAATGGTTCATTTGCAGAGATTTTTCTATAGCGGTTGTGACAGAAACCAGGGGTCCTGATGTCTACAATGCAAATTTAGCATTATAACTACTGTACAACAATGTTTTAGACATCAGGCAATGTGTTCATAATCATTTCATGTAACAACTTTCTGTGAAGGAGCTTTTATAGGCGTTAAACCTTTCAGACATCTGGCCCCTATCACCACCACTGCGAACAGTTCTGACTCTGTACGTTTTTTTGAAAAATCGGCGGAGTTCCCCTTTTATACTCTGTTCGTAGCTGACGTTATTGCACCACCTGCTGGTCGCTAATATTAGTCTAAAATACTGAAACATGCGCTCTAGGGGAGCTAATTCCTGGATATTCAGCACCGTCTGGTTATCGTCTGATTTAACAAATCACTTGATTACCAGATTACACAACATAACAGAATAAACTTGATGATTCAGTTTAAACGAGGTCTGACTCGTTAGTGAATCGTTCTTCTGAATCGGTTCTTCGCAATTTGACCGAGTCCAACTGAATCGGTGCTTTTATAGCATCTTCAACAGCAAAATTTAAATAACAACCTTTCACAACTTAACTTTATTAGCCTCTTTAAATTCGCTTCCATTTTTCTATATTCGGCTCCCACTTACTGATATGTTTTGCTTTGACTGACTCTGAACACTAGGGCTGCTTTCCTAAAGCCCACCGAAGGCTGAAATGGCTCCCTACTCTCTACATAGTGCACCGAATAGGTCAGCAAACGATTCTTGTTTCGGCAGACCTGACTGGCATGTGGGCCACACGGCTACAAGATTAGGCAAAATTAAGGAAAGCCGATAGGAAACGAAGCTTAATTGAAGCCGAGCAGAAAGAGGCCATTCGACTCGTCAAATCGGACGTTTCATTCATTAAAACGGGCCGATCGAAAGAATCGGCTCGCGAAAGCGAATCGAACTTTCCCGGCACTGAAACACAGCTGAACATCTTTTGAAAAAATATCGCGGACAGTGTTTTTAGGGTTTTTTAATGTTTTTGTTGGAGTTTTTCCTTATTATTCCTTTTCTCTGTTAAAACGAATCGCCCAGACCAATCCGTAAATCCTAGAGACATGAAACTTGGTAAAGCACCCCACCCCCCCATACTACTCCCAGTCGGCCTAAAGGGGGCGCTATTACGCAACACAATGCGTTTGGCCCTATAACTCCTTACACATTTTTTTTTACAGGCAAAATGCATTTTTTCCTGATTCCTTGGGTCCAAACAAACAACTTTGTAATTTGGACCATTTAGCTCCGTCTACTTAGATTTTGAGCTAATTTGCATAATATACAAAAACTACTTTTGCGAACTAGTCCTACAGGTCACACCCTATCCACATGTTTCTGGTGTCAAAAAATTCAGCACTGCCTGAAACTCAATAATTATCCAGCACATTTTTAATTTTTTAAACAATATGGCTGTCATATGATAATTAATCCTTCTGGAAAAATCAAAATAATTCTTATTTAATTGAAAAATCTATAACTCAAGAATCCTTCACCCAAAAAATTTGAAACTTGATAGGCTTATTCTTAAGGAGACTCTGAGGAAGCTTATCAATTTTTGTGCGCATTGGTCATTAGGGGGCGCTGTAAATGCTACATAGCTGTTTCTCAGCATCCGTACATCCGATCAAGTTGAAACTTTGCAAGTACCATCTATTACAAAGACTATAAGTGAATCTTTAAGGACACGTCGATATATTGAAACTTATGGTCGCCATCGGCCAATAAGCTTTCAGCAGCCATTTGACAGGCTTACACTTGGCCAATCATCATGATACTGGACACCTGTCTCTATCTTACCACCTTCTAACAAGCTGTGAAGTTTCAAAATATTTGGCCACTGGGGTGCGCTATTAATGAAAATCAAGTATATCTTGTACTGATTTTCATTTTTGGTCAAACAACTTAGATGACCTCATGCAGTGCAGTGCAAACAATTTTGTCATTATAAGTGTATTAAAAAAGTGCATTGCAATCATTAATTGTTTGAAAATAACACTTTTCGAACTAGTCCATGGAATTTGAAGTTAACTTCTCAAAACTGGTCTAGAAATACTCTGTAGCCTCTCTAGGTAAATAATTATGCAACACATTTAAAATTTTTTGCTCATTGTGGTCTCCCTCCAGCACTGAATCATTGTGGCCATGGCATTGCTGGCTTAAATTGCTATAACTCATCAGTCATTGGTCCAATCATCTCAAAATTTTAAATATTTGTATATATTTTGATTGAGATTTTGATCCTGATTGGCCCATAGGGGGTGATTTAGCACTCAAAAACACCTAAAATCTTTAAAAATGTTATTACAACGATACTACAAAGTCTACAGATAAATAATAGGTGTGCTTTGATTCAGTTCACTTATCTGAATAACTTTGTAATTACGTGTTATGTTGTAAGTTGGACTCATTCATTTATTCATTTAAAGACTACAGCTTATTATACCGAGGTCAAAAAGTCAATCTGAACCAAACTTGGTGAACATCCTCGATGAAGGTCCCTGATCAATTGTCATAACATATGGAGACCTTTGGACCAATTCTGACCTTTATACTCTGTCCTTTATGCTAAAGGGGCCCCTTATGAGTGCATTGAGTCTCATTATGTCATGCTTATCAAAGGCTTTAACATGGAGAAACGGCATACTTTGCAAACACAACTAAGACAGATATTTTACCATTACTCAGGTATTTTTGACATCTATGTTGATAATCTTTTTGCATGTTCTACAAACCTTTGTAGATCAGTACATTGGAATGTAAACATATATTAGGTTTAAAGCCCCCTGCTCATTGTCCATGACAAATGAAGGTCTGTTGATTAACTCAGACTTCTTTTCAGCCTCTCTGCCTAGAAGATCCAAACTGCATGAGGCCTAATTAGGCCTATTTGACTCAAAGTGCATGAGAGCTTCTTGTGCTTATGCGTTCTTGGACCCGCTCATTGCCGCTTGCGGCTATATTTTTCTTTTTCTTTTTTTCAATTTTTTATTTTTATTTTTTTTACAAATGCAGTGGTTGAGATATAAACAAAGTCATTCAGGGCGGTTTGATGTGAAATGGTTCATTGTAAAGAAACTTACAGAGTCAGATTTCTTTTCAGTGGTGGTGATAGGAACCAGGGGTCGCAATGTCTACATCACAAATACAGCCGTTTTATTTACTATTCAAAACCGCTCGTGAACCTACAGGAGTTTTCATATGTATTGTTGATGATGGTAAAATAGTGATAAATCTAAAAACAAAAGTTTTCTTTGGGGACTGTTTTTCTTCAAAACACTCTGCATGTACCCCTCCACCATGAATGGACTAAAATAAATTGATTTAACATATGTTTTAGACCAAAAGTCCATGTCAGACATCAGGCATGGTTTTCACAACCATTCCATGTAATCTCTGAGGGATGTTTTAGAGGTGCAATTTTGAAAATTCGGTGGAGTTCTCCTGTAAGAATCCGGCCCACTCTCGGGGTTGTCCGCTCCAGTCTTTCCGCAGCTCCACCCCGCCGCTGCTGCCGCCGCTGCTGCTTATTGTTTTCCTCCCTCACCCCCCGGTCGGGTCATGGCTACTCATTCCGCTGACGAGTCTTTCCCTTTACACGGGCTGCTCCCGAAGAAAGAGACCGGCGCCGCTTCTTTCCTGACCCGCTTTCCAGACTACGATGGCCGGGGCGTGCTCATCGCCGTCCTGGACACGGGAGTGGACCCTGGGGCGCCCGGCATGCAGGTTAAACTGAAAGCGCTGCTGCTGAATGAAGCAGGCCGCATGACTGACTCCAGCTCTGCGTTAACACACTGCGATCACACAGCCCACACATCGGCGTTTATGTTTAAAGGACGAGAAGCAGTCCTAGCTCAGCCCTGCTCGGTCTCGTCACACAGTATACAGTCCGAGGTTTTAATATCGTGAAGCCATAAGCTGTGTCATCACCAACGGCCAAGTGATGCTAGCTAGTCGGCTAACCGCTTAGCTGTAGCGCTACTACCGTTAACCGAAGAACTGAATCTCAGCAGTGCTATGTAGCCTCAGACAGCTTGTGCTTACTTTGCCTAGTCTAAAGATAGTGTTTCATTCTAGTTATCGTTACCCCAGGCATGTCGAACGAGTGGCTAACGTTACTGACACAAAGCAAGACAAAGCCGGTCAGCTTGTTCGAATTTCCCCGTTCCACCTTAAGTGGTGCGGCAGGTACATTCTATCGCCTCAGGCACCATACGATAACTGCAGTACCATTTAAGGTGGAACGGAAAAATTCGACTAGGAAGCTAACTTCAGCCTTGTCAAAGCAATGCAGTCTCAGCGAGGCTAATTAGCTTGTTTGCTAACTACCGTAGCTGTCTGTTTTCTCTTTTTGTGAATGGACATTTAGCCTGTTTCGCCCGAAATAGTGCCGCTTTGATACATTACTTCACGCCAAACTCAAATACGACAATAAAGTGACTTTTTGAGGTATTACAGCTCGCTGTGAGGCCCCAAAACACTCTTAATGTTTGTCAGGCTAGAACTTTACCAGCTTTGGCACACACAGTTGAAAGAGGATCAAGCACCTGTTGCCAGATTTCACCCCAACTGTCAAGACTTCTTGTCACGCTTTTCTCATTCCCTCGAATAGTCACTTTCCCGAAATCATAGGATGTTTCTTTTGTTTTTTTTTTTTTGGAGACACTGCTACAGCCATGGACATTCAAGACCTTGGCCCTTGAAAAGATGAGGCAGCGACTAACACTATGAGATCTTACCAAAGCTGAATAACACAGACTTATGTTTAAAGGCTTAAAGGGGCAACCTGGCCAGAATGAAAAATGTAACCATTGCTACCATCTGTTGTGAATATGCTGACTCACTTTCTGCAGCAGTGCTGTAATAGTCACAAGAGTGAGATTTTCCAGTTTAAAGACTAGGAAACCCCCCTTTAAATGATGTATGTTGAAGGTAGAAAGAAGGAAGCCTGATCAATGGAACTACTACTGGGAAACCCAATATCTTGTCTGTATGCATGCTGGGTAGTGTAGTGAGAGGACATTAATGGGTGAAAATGCAAGGACAAAAAAAAATCATCTTAAAACCAATGAGGGATACAGCGTAGCGCTAAATAACACAATATATAATATTAAATGCCTGTCGTATGCTGGAATGCCCTTTTAAAAGCTGAAACGGTGGCTTCATTGGTCTGCTCGCTTTGTTTTTTTGGTCTCCCAGTTTAACTAAGATGTATGTATATGTTGTGTATCAATGATGTGTAAGAAGCGATTTAATTATGTGTTTCTGTAAATTATGTCTCAACTAGACCACAACAGAGGGGAAGCCGAAGATTGTGGACATCATTGATACAACTGGCAGCGGAGATGTCAACATGTCCACGGTGGTGGAGCCCAAGGATGGAACAGTGGCTGGACTCTCTGGACGCACACTCAAGGTTGGAGCCTGGCCGTCAGCGCTTTATCCTCAACTCATCCATATGCCAGATTTCTTCAAAACACAGCTTCTCGTGTTGCATCACTGCAGTAACTCAATCACTGTAGTATCTTGTTGCATACATCATGTTTGCACTGGGCCTAACATGTAGGCTTTAGTTTCATTCTCCCAAGCCCTTGGTTAGCTAGCTTAGCTTTCAAATGTTCTGTGTTTTTGCAGATCCCTCCTGCCTGGGTGAATCCCTCTGGGAAATATCACATCGGGGTTAAGAATGGTTACGACTTTTTCCCTAAGGCTCTTAAAGAGAGAATACAGGTAAGTTAAATATACAGCCTTCTGTCAGAGATGATTGTCTGTATTGGAATATTCAAATATTATTCACATATTATTCAAATTGTTCAGAGCCAAAAGGCATTTTGAAAAAGGTTTACTTAAAGCTATTGCTCAATGAAAGGTATTTTAGTTAGCTACTGTAAGGCTTAAGCCCTATTCAAACAAATAGTTTTACAAGGGGAATTAATTTATTTCTGACGATTTTAATCCAGTGTGAATCTCCAAAATCCAAAGCTTTTACCTGTCTGATAATTTCAGATCTCCCACTATAATAGCAGCTATTCTTGAAATGAGCTCACGTTAATGTAATATCAAAACCTGTAATGTAATAGCAAAAATTTATGTTGTTATTGTTAGTGAATGTGTCTTGTGGCGTATCAGTGATGTAAACATCCAGGCTATAACTTTTCAATCCAGCCTGTTTGTAGTAATTTGGGGAAATTACGCAGATACATTATCCGATGTATTACAGAACTTCATCTGGTGAAACTAATTCCTGGCCAACACTACATGAAAATTGGGCTGTTTTTGAGGCAGATTCACTCCTCCACAAAAGTTGTACCAATTGCAGGCAGGTCTTAAATGATTATCTTTCCAGATTGTCCTGTAGTTTGTTGTGCATATCATCATATTTTTACTCCTCAGATCTACTCACAGACCAATTGTTTTCGACTCTGAATAAAAAATATTGAATGTTCAATATTTATAATTAATTATTCGGTAAGTTAGTTGGTTGTGATGCTCTGTGTGAGGCTGCTAATTGGTAAGACCCAAACTGAAAGGAGAGCTCAGTTTAACATTAGGATTAAGTACTTGACATTGTTGGTGGCGTAATCTGAAAGTATGCTGTGTTTTGCTTTTCCCTAAATCTTGTTGTGTGGGGCAGGCTTATTATAGTTGACAAACTATTATTAAAACAAGTGTGTAATAAAGAACATCTGTTTTCGAAAACACAAAAACTAAATCAAAATGATATGAATGTCCGATGCAAAACTTTTTTTAAGCGTCCAAATGAGCATTTAGAAGTGGATCCCTTCTGTGTTAATTTTAGTCTACTCTTAGTAAATACCTACTATCACGTATCAGCACTTATCATAATGCTAAAACTAAATAAAAACAATTTAAACTATTACTTTTTAGAAAATAAAAACAAAACTAAAACTATTAGTGCACCCTTAAAACTAACTGAAACAGAACTGAAATCAAAAAATGAAAAAAATAAGCTATTAAAAATATTATAACTATAATAACCCTGATGTGGGGGATGCGATGACTGAAGGACACAATATCTGTCGTTATGTGTGGGGTCTCTCTTATTTTCAAAATCAGCAAGGTTTTAAAAAAGTACAGGCCTGTAGTCTAGAACAGGCATAATCCGGCTCAAGGAGCACTTTAGTCTGTTATTCTATGAATCCCTAAAATGAAATGAAAATTGGACAAGTAAGCCACATAAGTGTTTGGCAGGAAAAGTGGATGAATGTGTTTAATATTTTTTATGTATGTGTAAAATAGAAAGAGCGGAAGGAGAAGATGTGGGATCCTGCACACAGAGCTGCGTTAGCGGAGGCCACCCGCAGAGCAGAGGAGTTCGACCTGGCCCACCCCAACCCCTCACAGGTCGGTGTGGCTTCACTACAGCAGTGAAAACATTACCAACATTGCCAGCTCAGTCAGTGTAGAGAGATTTCTGTAGGCTTAGTTCTGTCTAACAACTGGGGATCATTTTTTACCATGCCACATCACCATGGCAACTTATGATGCACACCTAACATGCTCAGGGCAAGTTGCTTTCAGGATTTTTTTTTTTATTAGCTTATGGACGAATCAGAGCTGTGCTTCTGACCAATCAGGGAGAGCTTACTGTTGGAGGTGGACCCTTTTTTGGGTTACTTTTATTGGGTCAGTCACAAAAATATGACTTTTCAGTGGAGGAAACTTGTCTTACAAGTAAACAAGTTATAATTTTTATTACTTTTTTTATATGTAGTGTTGATGATGGTACAATGTGGCAGATGTGAAAACTTTGGACACTGTTTTGCCACACAACACATCTCTGTATGTTAAGTAACACATAGGTATGGCACATTTTATATTTTATTTTCATTTCCAATGTTAAACTCAGGAAATAAATAGAAAAAAGTGTGCGTTCCCTGTAGAGTGTTAGTGTGTTAACTTTTTCACTTAGAAAATAAACAAATAATGTAATTCATGTAATCCTGGTGGTCCTACTTATGTATATGACTGTATATGACTTCACCACTTGTAAAGCAAGTTAACTTGTTAAATGTGCTTTGTGAGACAGGCCCCATATGGTTATGGTTGTTGTTTGTTCTTTCATTAAATGTAAAAAATGAGCCATTTTCTCAAAGCAGAGTTAAATGTGTTGTAAGAAGAGCTTATTTGTAAGTAGTTCTTTTTAATAATAATATTTATGTTACCCAGTTCTATTCCTGAAATGGAAGATGGCCAGGCCACCAAAGAACTGTTAATTTCTGTTTATTTGTAGCTGGAATCTAGTGAGGAATACAGGGTTATCTCTCTATGTACTGTAGCCCATGGGAATTTGTTTTGTGGCAGGCTGACATTTTTATGATTAAAAAAAAAAATGCAATCATTGTTCCCTGCCTGCATTAACATTTTCACACTACAAATAATTTGACATTTTAGCATAGCGATACAAGCATTAACTTCTAAACAGTTTGCCCAACATTCCTTGCTTGTTCCTGAGTGAGACAAATAAAAGGAGAGAGAGAGACAGAAAGACCTCAGGCAAGTCGCTGACTGTTTATGACACAGCAGCAGTGATCTAAGTCTTTCCAGGCAGTCATATGGTTTTTATTATTGGACTCTCTAACAGAACTGTAATAATGTAATAGTAATGTTAGCTGTAATCGCTTTTACAGTTGTTGCATAAATTTTGTGGTTATTTGATTTGGCCTGTTTTGCACATCAGACCGAGAAGCTGCAGAAGGAGGAGCTGCAGTGCCACACAGAGCTGCTGAGTTCTCTGGAGAAGAAGTACAGTGACCCGGGTCCAGTCTACGACTGCATAGTATGGCATGATGGCATCACTTGGAGGTCAGGAGCAGATTTAAGATTTAATATATTAGGAAAATATAGTTGCCACTGCTTGTTGCATATGAATGTTGATTAGTGGTTAGAAGCAACAAAGAATTGAATTATAATCCCAAGAATTTTTAATCCTTAAGGGGTTAAAATAGCCTGTAAGTCTTTAAAGTCCTTATCTCACATTGTTCATTTATGTTGCAGACAAATGCTATAGAAAAAAAACAAGAATCTTTTACTCCTTTGCAGTGTTTTTTGTCGTGTTCTGATATTAAAACACCAAGTGGGAAGTACTTGACAGACACAAATCTGTTGGTACAGAATGTAGAACAAATGTAAATATTGTTCAACTGTGCAATTATGTAAATAGAACTATATAATTACATAATGTTGTAAATGTAAATTAAAAAATCTTAAGACAACTCTAGATCTTTTAAAACTAGAATGGAATGTTGCAGCAAAACTCAGTCATATACAGTGGTCCCCGTACCCCAGATGAAGTCGATCAACCAAGATGTGGTTGGAGAAATTTTGCTTTTTTTGTAGTTTAGCCCTGAAGCTACAAGGCTAACATTGCTAAAAAACACAAGTCAGTAGTCGTTCAAATCTTTTGTATCTTCTGTAAATACATCCTTAAAATGTTATTTTAGACAACAGATAAAATGTGTTTATTTTTTTATTTATTTGTTTGTTTAACTATATATGAATGTATTTTGTGACGACTTGTCATATGGACACTAACAGATCTGCCAACCTTTGCACATTTTGCATAACAGGTACGCATTTGACATCAAAGTATGCTGACATGATTTGTCAGTCTAAACTATGCAAAAAGCTGGTGACACCAGAAGTTGAAGCGTTAAATCAGTCATAGCTCTAAGGTAGTTCCCAGGGAAGACAAATGCACGATGCCAATCATTTCAAGAGACTGGAAATTGATAGCAACACCAAATGTTTTTTATCCCTCTCGTTCCCCCTCCTCACTCTGTCTTGCTGGTTTCATGGAAGAGGACGGTGCTTTTAACTTCTTTGCAAAGGTGAACGGGCTAGAGTGGATGCTGTACACACAATTGTTATTGCCGTCAAACCCGTAATCGTAATAAGAAGATCATGGCAGGATAAAAAAAAGTGCACGTGCCGCACTGAAATAACATTAGTCAGAAAGTTATTGGGAGGTGTGTGTGCATGTGCATGCCTTGTAGTTAAAATAAACATTTACGATGTCAGATGAGGAGGACACTGTCAGGGGAAACGAGAGAGCAGCAGACCCTGTCGAATAACTAAACTTGACTTAATATAATGTTCATGATTTCTGATTTTGTATGAATACCTATTAATCTTGGATTTTCAAGCTAAAGTGTATGTTTATATTCTGCTGCTTTTAGCTACACAAGGAATGTTTTTACGATGTTTTTTATAGCTCATGTTGTACTGTGTCTTAAACCACAACCTTCATGAAGATGTGAAAATGGGTTGAGAGAAGTTTTGGGGATGTATTTACAAAAAAAAATGCTATAAAAATATTTAACGTTATGTGCCATAATCAGTTAACGCATGAATGTATGAAACAGCAGTCTGAAGGTTTCTGTACTAGTGTGTGTTTTTGTCCTGCAGGGCAGTGGTGGATATATCGGAGAGTGGAGACCTGGCATCCTGTACTGTGCTGAGCTCCTACAGAGAGAGACAGGAGTACGCCACTCTGGGAGACGCCGAGATGCTCAATTACTCCATCAACATCTACGACGAGGGGAATACTCTCTGCATCGTTACAAGTGGAGGTGAGAAGATCGATCGCAATCAGGGATGTAGGACTAGATAAGTGTGGAGCAGTTGTCAGTTCCTGTGGTGTGTTTGCCAAAGGGCTACGACAACTAATCGATAACGTTAGGAACGTTGATTGGATCCTTGGCAGTAAATTTTGGTTGCTGCTAAGCTAGCAAAGTCACTTCTTGAGAGATAGTGAAGCTTTCATTGTGGAAAGTGCTGCTTGACGGAAGTCTTCTGAAACACAGGGACGCTTTATGTTAAACCTTTGTAAGAAGGTCTTTGGGGAAAAAGGCTTACATGGTACAAGAGTGTTAAATGACCATCTGACAAGAAAGTATCTTGTAGATAAAAAAAACAGCAGTTATCTTGGTCTTTCATTACCCAATCCATGGAAGGCCACAAGAAGAACTGTGGGAAACCCTGAACTCTGTAACTTTGTAGTAATATGAAACTAGGGGTATCATTGTATTTTTCAGTGCTTCTATAGAGATTCGTCAATGATAGGCCTTTTTAAAAATTACAAACCAAAAGCGGATGTGGCCAGAAACAAGTCTGCCATCTCACTGGTGGATGCTGTGTCTTGTAGGTGCTCATGGAACTCATGTTGCCAGCATTGCGGCGGGCCACTTCCCAGCGGAGCCGGAAAGGAACGGCGTGGCTCCTGGTGCTCAGATCCTGGCCCTGAAGATAGGAGACACTCGCCTGAGCACCATGGAGACGGGCACGGGCCTCATAAGAGCGGTAGGAGCTCTTGGGGCTGGGGTGTTGTTAAATAGAAATGGAATGTGAAATTAATTACTTTTTCTCATTTTTCATGCAAGATACAACACATTCACATGTTACTCTTTTCAGATGATTGAGGTCATCAACTACAAGTGTGACCTTGTGAACTACAGTTATGGGGAGGCAACTCATTGGCCAAACTCAGGGTGAGCCACACAGGAACTGCTGTTGCTTACTAGGGCTGCAACTTACAGTTGTTTCTGTAATGCTGACAGTGAAGCTATTAGTTGTTTTATTGACTCCACTCTTGGTTCAGATCTGAAAAACTCCAAGAAGCCTTTACTGACAAAAGTACAAAAATGGACAAAAAAGTAGAAAAATGGCAAATCAAAAAAGAAGCTGCTGGTCTTCTCAGAACAATGAACTGACCCCTCCAGAGTCCAGACCTCAACCTCACGAAATGTGTTTGGGATTATTTGGAAGCCGAGAAGCAGAAGATACACTTAAACTTCTAAGACTGAACTTTGGAGGAGGATTTCTTTGAAAAACTAAAAGTAAAATTCCTTAAAAGAATGGAAGCTGTTATAAAGGCAAAGTGTGGACACAGTAAATACTGGAAAATGTGATATATTTAGTTGTTGATGCTTCTGTTTAATTTTCTGTTAAATATATTTGCTTTTCTGCTTCTTTCTTGATGCTGTACAATGAATATTTTGTACTTAATGGCCATCTCAGCCTTTTGCACAGTACTGTATGTAACAAGCTATTTCCTGTTTATGCTGCAGTGAAGCAATAGAAGCCATATCACCCTGGTGCTTTATGTAGTCTGTAGTTTTTAAAAAATGTTTATAAGGCATTGGCAATAAAATGAGGTGTCGTTGTAGAGTATGTGTTAGGCTGTAGTCCTTGCGGGCCAAAACAGTACAGACTTCAGCACACTGCCTCATTAAACACACCTGATTCAGCTAATTAGCAAAGCCTTCATGAACTGAATTCAGAGCATTAGATGAGGGTAAATGTTAAAATCTGCAGCACTTTAGCCTGAATCGTCCCCAGTTTGACATGCCTGTTGTAGAGCATCAGCAATAAAACAACATATCGATATTTATCCATAATTGGTGTTTACTAATCATCAACTCTGTCCACTTATCATTGCAACCATACTTATATACTCATTACATTACATGCTGTCTGTTATCAGCACTAACCATACTGAAGATGTACTGGAACATTAGTATGACTGTGCTGTACCGTGGGGCTGAAATATCCAGAAAAGAATGTTTATATCAGTCTTAAATCATACCAGTTAATTTACAGAATGGCAGTATAAGCTTTGGCCCTTGTCTTTAATGTAGGGACTGAGTCTTAATGTAAGGAGTCATTATGGTCATGTGTTTATGTGTGCATTCTCAGGAGGATCTGTGAAGTGATCAGTGAGGTAGTGCAGAAACACAACGTCCTTTTTGTGTCGAGTGCTGGAAACAACGGGCCGTGCCTCTCCACTGTGGGCTGCCCTGGAGGAACCACAAGCAGTGTCATAGGTCAGTTATCTTTGTCAATCGGTAAGACAGTCAATGAAATATTTAAATACCACTGCACAGTTCTAGTGTCTGTAAGCTTCTATGAGCTTCAGACAGAGTGAACACAGCTGCAAGTTAAAGGGGAATTCTTGTAACATTTTTGTAAAATTTCTGCAAAATTCAGTCTTTTGTAAACAAACTCGTTCAGAGTGGTTCGAGGTGAAATGCTTCGTTCTATAGAACGTTTTGCGCAGTGGTGGTGATAGGAACCAGATAACTGAATCGTTTCATGTCTTTAAAAGCTACCTTACAGAAAGTTATATTTACCTTACAGTTATATATGTTAATCAGTGCTTAAGTATGTCTTTGTTTTTCTACCTATTTTTGTTTTGGGAAAGTACTTTTACTTGAGTCATTGTTTTACCCAAGCATTAATACTGTTGAGTGTGGGTTTAAACTACTCTACCTACCTCTGCTCCCAAAAATTTTTTTACATTTATTTCTCAGATTTATCATTATCAACATTTATGTATAAAAATTCAGAAGACAAAGTAAATAAAATGGCTATATTTGCTTTGTAGATACTGTGACCCCTGGTTCCTATCTCCATCAGTAAAAAGTCCATTAAAGCGTTAGTTCAGTGAAAAATCGAGTTTACACGATTATACCCTTATCTAAATGTAGGTGCTTGGTCAAAACGTGTTTGGAGTTTTAAGTTTGCTTCTTTAGTTTTACACTGTAGCTACAAGGCTAATGGGAGCTTATACCCCACAAGTTACCATCACATTTGCCACAAACCATATAGACTGCTTGTATGGTAGCTCTACTTGACTGATTTTTCACCAGACTATTCCTTTAACTCCTCTTTTGCCTTCTCTTGATCTGTGTGCAGGTGTTGGCGCGTATGTCACCCCTGACATGATGGTAGCCGAGTATTCTCTGAGGGAGAAGCTGCCCCCGAATCAGTACACCTGGTCCTCCAGAGGTCCCAGCACAGACGGAGCTCTCGGGGTTAGCATCAGTGCCCCTGGCGGAGCCATCGCATCTGTGCCTAACTGGACGCTTCGCGGGCACTCAGTTAATGAACGGCACATCCATGTCCTCTCCCAACGCTTGTGGAGGCATTGCTCTCATACTCTCAGGTAGAAAGATGGGACTGGGACCTCTTTTGAGCCCCCCCACATACACACACCTTCTAATTATTCAATTACATTACTTTAAGGTGCACCTGTTGTTTGTACAGTCTCCACAGAAAAGCATTGCCAATGGAACGTAACGCTCGGAGAAGCTACTCATGAGCCTAACCGTATGTTCACATTAGCAGGCAGCAACTAACTATTGCCACCACAAGTTTGTCAACTATGGGCATATATACTTTCCTTCAGCCAAGAAAATGTAAACTATAAACTAACGGGTCACTACAGGATGCTGATGTTGCCCTGGGAGATCAGGTGGGATGAAATGGATGACTGGATTTAAGCAGACAGGAACTGTTTTGCCCCATAGACTTGATTGAAATGCATTATATTGGTTTACCTTGTATATGGTCTTCGACTCCTTTTGATTTGTCTCCCTTCTTTGATTTGTTGCCTGCTAATGTGAACATACATTGAGGTCACTGTGCCCAATACAAGGCATCGGCTAGAGGAGTATAAAGCCCCCAGCCCTGGGCTATGGAGCAGTGGACCTGCATTCTCTGGAGTAATGGAGCTACATCCAATAATTACGAAATGAGTTGGAGTGGTGTTTGTAATCCAGAATTAATTATCCAACATCAGTACCTGAACTCACTAATGCTCTTGTGGTTGAATGTAGTCAAATCCTCACAATAATGTTCCAACATCCAATGTAAAGCCTTCCCAGAAGTGTAGAGGCTGTTACTGTGGCAAAGGAGAAACAGATTCTCTTTTAATACTCTTGATTTCAGAAGAAATATTAAAGGAGCAGGCGTCTACAAACCTTTGGACAAATAGTGTAACATTTATCTAACCGTGTTCTTAATCCTCAGACTGGTTCTAATTGTAACTCTGTTTAATAAGCAAATGAGATTCACCAGTTTGTTAAAAACTTAATATTGTTTGTGGGTGATTGTGCATAAGTTGTTAATGAGTTGTTTTTCCATGTTTATCAGGTCTGAAGCAGAACGGGGTTCGGCCCACAGTTGCAGCTGTGAGACGTGCTTTGGAAAACACAACCCTAAAAGTGGACGACATTGAAGTATTTGCGCAGGGCCATGGTATAATTCAGGTACTTCACAACTTTGTATGTGTGTCTGTGTAAGCTAGCAGTTGCATAGTCAACTGATAAAACTACTAGTCGGCACTGCGGGCAACAGTTGACTAGTTGAGAACAGTGCCTGAAATACAGCAATGGTAAAAACAGCAGTAGACAAACAAGAGGAAAGAACAGAGATCAACTTTTCTGCTAAACGCCAAGCCCAAAGTACTATATTAGCATGGGAATACAACATGAGATTAAACCAGTTCCACTGCAAACTGCATAAAACTGAGCTGAAATATAGACCAGGTAGGTTTCAAGAACCACAATTTGACTGACGTGCAGATCTTTTAGCTCTTAGATCTTTTTCAGTGTGCGCAATGATTTTAGAGTGCATTTTACATCAGACAGTCTGAGTACTTCAGTGGACAGAGTACCTGAGGCTGAAACTTTTGCAGTCTTGCACCTCAAACTGCCCCAGCCTCTATAAGCACTAACTACCAATACAATACTTTGACTTCCATAACACAAAATATTTTTTTTTTTATAAATAGAGTAATGATGTCTAATAAAAATGAACAGTCGTGCAACCCCTAAATGTGTCTGCAAGCTCTGACTGTTTTCTTTCCTCTGTAGGTGGACAAGGCGTTTGACTACCTCATGCAGCATGCCTCTTCCCCCACCAGTAACCTGGGCTTCACGGTTACTGTTGGGAATCACAGAGGCATCTACCTCAGGGACCCCATCCATGTGTCCACTCCATCCGATCATGGAGTGGGCGTTGAGCCGGTCTTCCCCGAAAACACTGGTCAGTCTTGCTACCTTTCTGTGTATTTTCACGTGAAATTAAAGTGCCTTACAGACTGAATTAAGTCATTATATCTAGACTGCTGATTGCCGCTCTAAATTACTTTCTGTAAGTAAGTAATTACGGTCGATGTCTGTTATGGTCAGTAAATATACCCACTTCCTGCAATTCACACTTATTTTTGGTTTAGGCCACACCCACTTTCAGGTTAAAATTGAAAAGAAGCTATTAAAAATATATTTGTATCAATGTTGGTATCAATATGAAGAATTTAGTAATATATAGTCCTACTGGCAACTGGGAATGTGTAGTTTTTGACTAGTCTTTAAAACCCATCGGGTTAAAGTGCTGTGGAGATCATCGTTTTCCCTCATCCAGCGCTCTGAATTCAGTTCATGAAGGCCTTGCTAATTAGCTGATGAGCTGAATCAGGTGTTTTTAATGAGGCAGTGTGCTGAAGGACACTTACGAGGACTGAATCCTGACACATGCTTTAAAGTGACCAAATTTATCAAAACTAAAAACAAGAATCGGCCCATTGTCCTGTTTTTCAATACTGGTTTTGAAATGAAAATCGAATGACCAAAAGATACATGCACCACATACTGATTCCTGATTCTTATACTTTTTTGAGATCTTTGTGTAAACTTCACACTGAAAGTGGATCTAGCTCACATGTGTCAGGCTCCCGTCCTAACGGGCCAAACCACTGCCGACTTCAGCAGACTGCCTCATTAAACACACCTGATTCAGCTCATCATCAATTAAAAAGGCCTTCTTGAACTGAATTCAGAGCGTTGGATGACAATAAATGCTAATTTCTGCAGCACTTTGGCCCAGAAGGTCCCCAGTTTGACATGCCTGATCTAGCTTAAAGGAAATGAGTGTGAGGTGCTGGAAGTGGGTATAATTACTGTCCGCAAGTGGATTAAAGACTAATCAAGCAGCTAAAAACATGCATACAAAATGTAATTTAGATTTTGGAACAAGCATGCTCATTGGCTCACTGATACGGCGAAGACTCCCTACTTACTGAAATTCGGTACTAAAAAAATGATTTTTTTCAATGCTTAATAGTATTGAAGTAATTCCGTCTGTACCATAAAGTTATTGAGGACAGCCATTGATAACCAGCTCTATTTATTATCTTTTTACAATATTGGTGAAAGTATGTGGCATAGCTAAAAACAGGACTAGCAATCATCTTTATGCCTGAATCAGTTCATGCTTACATCCATTCTATAGATACCAGTATGTCTGTGTCAGAAACCTTGTGAATTCAAGAAATGATTAATAAATAAACTCTGCCTAGCCGTAATTGCAGTGCCGAAATCCTTCTCATTACCACTTGATCTATATACCTGATGGTGATGAGCTTTTTCTCTTGCAGCATACTCTTTACTGCATTCTGCTTCACTCTTGTTATTAGTCCTTCAACATTCATGATAACAGAAACAAGTTTATATATCCCAGGGCAGTCCTGCATAGACTGATAACTCCTTAAAAACGGGTACTAAACCTGTTGAATAATGGTTGAACGACCAGTCCAGTTGGATCAAGTGTGATTTCTTTTGACTACACTAGGCTAATCTTTTTTTGACTGCTTGAGTCTGACATGTATTCATCATTTATATTTTGTAAAATGTAACCAACTGTAAAATGTTGAATGTTAACTAGTTAGACTATGTTCTTGGTTACACCTGCCCGTCTCCTCATTATTCACTGCACTTTTTGCATGTCTGTGATTAATTTTCTGTCTGCCTCTGTAGAGAACTCCCTGCGGATTTCGTTGCAGCTGCACCTGGCGCTCACCTGCGGCGCATCCTGGGTACAGTGCCCTTCGCACCTGGAGCTCATGAACCAGTGTCGGCACGTTAATGTCCGCGTCGACCCGCAGGGGCTACGAGAGGGACTGCATTACACTGAGGTAATGCTTTCTGAACTTTCTGAAGGCCATTATCAACATCACTGTAAAGATTTGTGCCTGACCAATGTATCAGTTGATCGATAATATCAGCTGATATTGTTGACTTGTAGTTTTATCGGCAGAGAATTAGTTATTTTTTTTTATGGCGTTGCCAGCATTTGGACTTTTTTATGAGATGGCAGAACCTTACATGGTTTATGGTTAGAACACCGTCTCGGTTAGTATAACAAAAACTGCTATAGAATTTCTTTACTGAATGAATTATAACTCCACTCTGTTATATTAACTGTATATTATAAAAATACAATTTAATTAAGTAGACTCAAGGTAGGGACTTGCCCAATTCTAGATAAATTGTGTTTTCTGTGTTATGGATTAACATTTACATACAAAAAAAAAATCACAAAAGCAGTGTAATGTAGATGCTTTAAAAGAATCCAATATTATGTGTCTTTTTTGGCTCATTAGGTGTGTGCATATGATACTTCGGCTCCCAATGCTGGTCCTCTCTTCAGAGTCCCCATAACGGTTATAATCCCTACAAAGTAAGTACCTTAAAAATGATCCTCTGCCTTGTCTTGTCATGTTGTTGTTGTTTTTTGTAACTGGTGTCTGTTTCCCGTGTAGAGTTACGGAGAGCCGGAATCAGGAGATCTCCTTCACAGAGGTACACTTTAGACCAGGCCAGATCCGGCGCCACTTTATCGCCGTCCCTCAAGGGGCCTCCTGGGCAGGTAGGGAGAGAGATGTCTTACTCAGAATCTGGCATTAGGTAGATAAAGATGATTTTCCATCATCGGATCTGTCAATCACTATTTCTCTCTCTCTCCCCCCTCCCCCTTTCTTCCTCAGAGATCACGTTAACATCTCACTCCAGTGACGTGTCCTCTAAGTTTGTCCTCCATGCTCTGCACCTGGTGAAGCAGAAGGCTTACCGAGCGAATGAGTTTTACAAGTTCTCCTCTCTGTTGGAGAAGGGCTCACTGACAGAGGCTTTCCCTGTGCTGGTATAAAAACACTTCTAATTTGATCTTATGGCTCATTTTTAAAGTTAATCTACATGAAATCTATAGTTCAGTGAAAAATTAAATGTATACAGGTTTTGAGCAAAAGAGAAGCTTTTCAGCGTGCTCAGGTGACTTATTCTAGACGTAACTTGTAGAATCATTAAAAGGCTCTTTGCTGCTCCGTTTATGGTGGAACACAATTTTTGAATAAAAAGTTGTCGAGTATTTCAGGTTCAAAGTAAACCAATGTTTAGCATTGTTTTTGCTGGATCTGTCGGACTAGTGGACTTGTTTTTACTTTTTATGCACAATAAAAATATCTAAGACTTACTTTGGTTGTTAATGTTATTACAAGGCACATCACAGAATAATAAGCCAAAATTAAAGTATCTAAAATGGTTTTATTTACAAATTTATATATTGATGTATATGATATATGCTGAAACCATAAAAAATTTTAATGATGCCATAATATAAATTTTTGGCAGTGCTACTCTGTACAAGAGGCATGTGTGTTGTGATTTAGCAGTTTACATGCTGCTAATTTATGCTCCTAAGCTTCCGCTGTTTGCTCACTGCATGGCTTGCCTTAGCTGATCATCTACATTTGGGGCAAGGGAAAAACTGTACACTTGATTGTTGTTTGACTATTTACTTTAATGTATTAAGCCAATAATGTGTTGCGCTCTGCATTGTGTGTCTGTATCCTTCTTAGCCTGGTCGGACAGTAGAAGTATGCATCGCTCGTTGGTGGGCCAGTCTTGGTGACGTCACTATAGACTACACCATTTCCTTCCATGGGCTGCAAACGTCTCCCTGTCCTCTTCATATTGTAAGTATCAACACTTAAAACCGTAGCTGTGTCTCCTGGTTTTCCACAGAATACTGAGTATTAGGAATTGGAGTGGTTGTTCAAATATACATCTGTCTGAACTCCTCTTAATCAGATATTCACATTAGGCATGAGAAGTCTGGAATAAAGAAGTAAAAAGTGTATTATCTTATTGAAATTAAAATGTATAACTGAGAATGTGACAGAACTGCAGAGAACGTGGGAAAAGCTGACATTGCATCTGATGTTAAGTGAAATGGCCACATCTGAATGGAGCTGTGTGTGGAATTATTTTGAATAAAATAATGGCAATTTCAGAGTTTTGTGACTTATTGTTCTGTCAGTTGGTCGTGTGTTAAATCACATATGTCTAAAACACAGAGAAACCATGATCATATAGTCAAATGTAGATTGTAGAATCTGTGATGGATTGATGAGTATAGATTGAAACATCAACTAGGTATTTAAACGTATTTTTAGATGTTTGCTGACTTATTTCAAGAGGTTATTTATCAATTAATAATATAGTGTAATTACAGCTTTATAAATATTTTTAGGAGTTTAAGTACCACGTTTTAAAGAATTTTAGTTACTGATGCTATACAGCTCTGTCAGTTATTTTAGAGTCAGTATTCGGGACAGTGGCCACATCTACAACATTCAGATTTTTTTGTTTGCATTTGTTTAATAAAAAGCTTCATACTAAATGCTCTTATGTGTAAGAAGTTGTTACAGGACTTGAACATTTAATATTGTTAAACAGTTTTGTTTCAGTTATTGAATATATTGTTTTTATATTATTTGAGCATTGAACAGTGATTCCAAACTTGAGTGTATATAACATTTCTCTTTGGAATATTCAAATACTTAAAAAAATGTGGGTATTTGTGTAGCAGAAATGGTGAAAATGCTCATCACTACTAATTATCTTCTATGTAATCTTTAATATCCTTCAAAGAAGATCTGTGTGTTTTGTATAATGTTTAAATAACTTGTGTTTCCGAGACTAACATTCTCCAATTTTTTCCTCTCCAGCATGCTTCTGAAGGCATTTCTAGTTTTGAAGTATCATCTCCTCTAAGATATGAGGAAGTCTCCCCCTACCATCACCCTAAAGAACTGGGTACAGCCTCTCAGGTAACTTAAACTATACTCAGAAGGAGTTTGTTTGAACAAGGCTCACTGTCTTTAAGAAGTGATCGTGGCTAGAAATACTTTCTAATTGACTGGAGGACTTGTTAAACAAGTACTGAGGGATGAAGGCAGGTCCTTTTAAAAAGTCTCAGATGCTGTAAAACATACTTGCGGATGGCATGCTCTCTCACTAGACACTTTTAAAAATGAGTATGTCTCAGTAGGACAGAGAAAAGACACTCTTGGGAGTACTTGTGTATGGGGAGCCTCAACTACTTACTTTATCCTCATAAAATATTTATCGACATGTTCTCCTCCTGTGTCCTTTCTTCTCCACAGACCAGTAAGTTCAAAAATAAAAGCACTCGGCCTCAGAGACATCTTGCCCAATAACCGTCAGCTTTATGAAATCGTCCTCACATATAACTTTCATCAGGTATGAATACAATTCTCAACTCTGTTCTCATACAGAAAATCTGTCTATATAAAATCTTGTTTATGCAGATTTGCCAGTTTACTAAGGTTATTACACATTCCTACGTTGTACCTACACATATTGGCAATCTTGTCAGAAGCACCTACCATACCCAGAACTGTGAGAAAGTCTGAGACCTCCACGTGTGGTCATTGCTGCTCCTGTGATCCCACTGATGGATAGGGAAAAGGGGCACAGATAAATTGTGCAAGGGTAGATGTGCTTCTGGCAGTAATTATAAACCCTTATAACTGCACCTTCAGTTGTACCCAAAAGTTGTGTATATAAATGTATGCACTATATATAAATACAATAAACTGGCAACTCTGTGTTTATCTGTACTGTTTCGTGCTTTTTTGTGAAGAAAATGTGTATATTTGTTCACCATGTATATGTTAAGAATATGAGAATATCATTGCTCTTTGTTTCACAGCCTAAAAGTGGAGAGGTGACCCCTAGCTGTCCTCTATTGTGTGAGCTGTTATACGAGTCGGAGTTTGACAGTCAGCTCTGGCTCCTCTTTGACCAGAACAAGAGACTCATGGGCTCTGGAGATGCATATCCTCACCAGGTACATTTTTTTTAGTTTTATTTATATAAATTTTGTAATGAATATACATAGAACATGGTCAGTATATGATTTGGGGTAATTACTTTACATTCGATTTACACTCTGTATCTTCAGGTTTGAGTTGGCATTTTGGATAATATTCACTGACAAAACATGGCAAAAATGTAAAACAGCTTTACGCACAATAACTTTTTATCAAATTCAAATCATAAAATATCTTCTTCAACCAGAAGGCATCAACTGAACATTTTATAATCCACCCTCTCGACAGAATTTTTGTGTTTCGGTGAGCTACGAGTGAGACATTAAAATTGCAATGGTTGTTTTTGTGAAAAATAACAAACGTGAAAAATCCCAGACAATATGATTTTGTATTATCTGTCTTTACTTGCCCTGCTCATAATACAAATACTCGCCTACCTTCATCCCCCACTAGTACTCTCTGAAGCTGGAGAAAGGGGATTACACCATCCGCCTGCAGGTTCGCCACGAGCAGCAGAGTGAACTGGAGCGGCTGAAGGACCTGCCCTTTGTTGTGTCCCATCGTCTCTCCAACACGCTGAGCCTGGACATCTATGAGACGCATCGGTCTGCCATGCTGGCTAAGAAAAAGGCTAACTCCCTCACCCTTGTCCCAGGAAGCTCACACCCGTTCTACATCACCTCCCTGCCGGACGACAAGTGAGTCATGAGACATGAGGCGTCTTTCTGATATTCATTCGTGTTTATGATATTTATGTAGTTTTGCAATATTATTTGCAGTTTTTTTTACCCTATGAAGTCTTATAATAAGAGTTTTTAAGTTATGATGCTAAAGGCACCAATCAAACCATGGATTATTTTTGCATTTTCTCTTGAAAGGAATTTGTAGAACCAGTTAATGAACGAATATGAAATGGAAAAGTAGAGACTTGAGGTTTTTTCAGATCTTGTACTTGGCAAGTCTGAGTAGTAATGCTGATTTAGGGTTTGATTCCTCCTCTAATCATACTTAGGCCCGATCCCAATTTTCTATTTTTACCCCTACCCCTTGTTTTCGAGTGTCGCATTGCATCATGGAACCGAGTTACAAGAGGTAGTGGTTGAAATCTTCCTCTATGAAATGAGACCACTGTGAACACACAAAACAAAGGGGTAGGGCTAAGCGGTAGGGGCAAGGGGTGAAATGGGATTGGGCTTTAATCTCAATAACAAAAATGGAGACTCCAGATTCAGCTGTTATATTCCAACATGCAATATGGCTTAGTCACATAAACCTGTCTAGGTTTTTTTTTTTGTCTGTGGCTGTCCTCTTTGAGTCAGCAACTAATAGATGTAGCGTTCTTGGCTGCCTCGGGTTCTGTCAGTTGACTACTTCTATTTCTTTATTTATGGATTTGCTTTGTTTTTATTTACATGCAAGTTAAAGGGACACTTGGACCAAAATGAAACTGTCAGTATATCTATTGTAAACTGCCATCTAATAGCGGTGATGCAGTAGTAATGAGAGCAGCGTTCTCTGATTAAAGACTAGAAAAAAAACCCTTCTGATGATGTATCTTGAAGGTGATAGTAACAGTTTTACAATGGAGAGCATGGATTACTCAAACAACAGAAATGACTCTTTAGATAGGGGCAGCATACTAAAAGCTACAGAAGCTTACAGTAGCCACCTGGCTTTTCAGATACCTTAGCTCATGGTTTTTTTTTTGGTTTTTTTTTCTTTGGCTGAAAGGGCAAAATGTGTCACTAGTATCTATCTTTTGTGCTGAATAAGATAAAAACACTGTTTTCCTTACAATTTTTTTTTGACAACCGAGGTGAATTGCTCTAATGCTAGCTTGGTTGTATTTGTTAGCCTATAGTTCACTGGCTGGGCTAGCAGTCAGAGTTGATTGACACCACAAGGATTCTCAGTGGTTGGGTCATCTTGTCCATGTGCATCAGTCAAGCAGTGCACTTGATACCAAAGATACATATTGAATATTGTAATTTTTGAAAACATTCAATATAGTGATCTTGAATGTTCTAACAATAAGAAAATACACATTTCATTTTAAAAACTGATTAGAAGAAACAACTTTTTTTATTGGTATTGTCATTATTTTTGCACTATTCCATAGATTATACTTTTTAATTGGTCTTTTTATTAAGACTTAATTGACATTCTTTAAGGTAATGAAAAAAAACATTGTTAAACAATGTTAAATAACTCTTTCATAGCAAGTTGCCTAAACATGCTGATCCTACCTAATCTGGCAACCCTGAACTGACACTAAATAACAGTGAGTGATGGTGGAGAGCAGAATGTAACACAAAAAAAGAATGTAATTAAAAAATAGGGCCTTTTGGTTGACCAAGAAAATCCTCAGTTGAGGCGAGCCCTTAATTTTATTTCTCCTTATTTATATCTCCTCTTCTGGGAGAACTTTGTTTTTGAATCTAGTGATGGTGGTTCTTCCGTGACTCCCTCTCTTGTCTTTCAGGATCCCTAAAGGTACAGGTCCTGGGTGCTACATGACGGGCTCCCTGGTCGTGCCTAAGAGTGAATACGGGAAAAAAGCAGTGAGTGACACTATTTGACGTCAACCTCTTTTTCTCTAGTGGCTTTGCAGCCACTGAGCTCCACCCATCACATATGTGGACCAATCAGGGAGCTGTGACACTGTCCTTGTTTTGCATGTTGCTTGGCACTCACTTTGTCCTGTGAGAGTAGATGTTCACATAACTCTGGTGTTTCTGACTGGGGAGAATGCATCGTAGCTCCTGCCTCTGCTTGTTTATTCTTTTTTCTTTCCTCTCTGCCCGAATGTTGATTCGCAATTTACAGATCTGACAAAGAAAGTAGACTTTTTCGAAATGCATTTCAACATTAAAGGCTGCATTCTGATCTGTTCAGTGCTATTCACACTTGCCAAATTTAATACATTTTCTAAAAGATTTCTCTTCTGATTCTGTGTCCACTCTGTCAGTTCTGTCTTATCTTTTTGCTGTTGCTTCATCGCTGATAGTTAAGAGGCGCTGTACTCAGCAAATGATTTTAGGGTGAAAGACATCGTTTCCCAGCAAAGAAAATGCAAAGTGTTTTTAGTTCTCAGAGTCTATCTTTCAAAACAATGTCAGATTAGACATAGCTTGGAATGCTTTATCCAAAAGGAGACCACTCTGTTATAGGCACCAGTAGATGACTTCTAGATATAGCAATATAAAGTCTTTTAAACCAGGGAGTACGTGGATGAAATCAGTGCTTGCCATAAAATCCCTGAAGGATAGGCAAAGGGAAAAGAGAGAGAGTATCCAAGTGTGTGCCTGTTTTCTCTTCTCTTCTCTCCCTCATTGTGTGTTATTCTGACCACCAGGGCCAAGCCTCAGCCAAACGACAAGGAAAATTTAAAAAGGTACTGGATGGGCTAGAGTTCTATAAATACAATACTCAAAGGTACAGAATGATTCAACATTTTACAGGAGTGTAAATATCACATTTGTTTCAACGGCAGGTGAGGTGATACGCTGCTGTATAAACACATTGGTATTTTTGTGAAAACATTTCTGCTCTGTATGTGACTTGTAATGCTCCAAGGTCACACCCAGACATCACATCTTGACCATATTTGTCACGTCAGCTGTTCATCTTCTTGCTGTTAACTCCTCACTCAGATATGTATTCTATTAGTCTGATGTTACACTGACAGTATGGTGCAAAATCAGAGACCACCCTTCATTTGTTTAATTTCTAGTCAGTTATTTAAGTTTACATTTCAGCAGGTGTTTTGGAGGAGATTAGGTATGAGGTAGTACACCTGCATATGGGGAAAGTCAAAGAAAAATAAGTAGAGGGAAAAAAAACAGGAGTTTTCAAAAGTTGAGTTCAAAAAATGGTTAAATGATACAGAGAAACTAGAACTCCTAACAACCGTGCAAGACCTGGTAGACCACCAACACTGTCCCCAACAGATAAACAGTACTTTCATCTTTGAGAGAGACGAGAAAATCAACCTCCACTCTCCTCCACGCTTCACATCTTTAAAAATCCGTAAATTACTATATTGAGTTGTTGGGGTTCTGTGGAATTTTCTCTTAAATGTGCTTTTTTCCACAATGCAAATTGATTGACTGGTGCTTCATGACCGTACTGTACCGTTTTGACGAAAAATTAAATAACCGAAGGGTGCTCTCTGACTTTTGCACAGTACTGTAATCGTCAAACCCTTTGTGAATTATTTGATTAACAAGGTCAGTGGATGTTCAAATCATTCAGATTTTTTGTTTATTTATGATCAGGGAGTCGTGGTGGATCTGAGGCTGCTGTAGCTCATGGGTAATTTAGCTGCAGTGAGAAGGTGGCCCATTAAGTTGAATGTGTTTTCTGTCCCCATTTAGGATGTTGTGCCAATCGTTTACCACCTGATCTCTGCCCCCAACAAAACGAAGAATGGAGGAAAAGAGAAGGAGAAGGATGGAGAGAAGGAGAAGGACGTGAAGGAAGAATTCTCTGAAGCCCTCAGAGACTTGAAGATCCAGTGGATGACAAAGTCAGTCCCAAAGTTATTTTGCTCCTCTTTGTGAAATTATATATATTTTTTTTCCCTTGTTGATCCACACTTTCCATGTTTCACCCTCAGATTGGACAATAGTGCTTTGTATGATGAACTGAAGGAGACCTTCTCAAATTATCTCCCTCTCCATGTGCAGCGACTGCATCAGCTTGATTCAGAGAAGGTATAATTATCTCTCTCTTTCTTAGATACACACCCACATGACATGCTGTCGCCTAACTCGGTTATGTCCTTCATACAGGAGCGGCTGAAACGATTGGGAGATATTGTGGCAGCAGCAGACACTGTGATCTCTCAGATTGACCAGACCGCTCTGGCGGTCTACCTTACCATGAAAACAGACCCACGTCCAGATGCGGCCTCCATCAAGAGGTATAAAATTGGTCTTAAGACACAAAAGCAAAAACCTGGCGTGTAAGGCGTAATCTTACAGCGTCATGACCACCCAATCAAAGACAACTTTCCCCACCGTAGACGAGTACATTACCATTCAGTAACTCTACCACTACCAGTAACACTACCCTTCACAATATTTTATACAAATATTTGGTAGAGATGTCTGCCTTGAGATCCACTGAAATTATCCCTTGAGCTCAATTTCTCAGTGTTTTCAAACTCATTTTCAGCTTTTTAGATGTGAAGTACATCATGGACCTGGCTGCTTGCTCAGCAGGGCTTCAGATTAACACTGTTTCGTCGTCCAGAGAATAATAAAAATATCTCACGAATGGATGTTTAAACCGTTTAGAGATGCTTCAGGCACAGTTAACTTGCATGTGAAAACTAAATATTTAATGTCTGTAAAATATCGTCATGAAATCATGAACATGCCAGCTTTCCATACCTTCCCTAAATATAGCAATGTTTAATCCAGAAACTGTCTTAACTTTTGTTTTTTTGTTTTTTTTTTGTTTTGTTTTGTTTTTTTGGTCACATGAAATTTCTGCCATGAGTTCAATTTTAATTTCCATTAGCCCTTCAAAGGGAATTCCTCTGTAATATTAACGTCAAGCTAACCATAATGTCCAATCACCAATTTTTAGCATGCTCTTAAACATGGACTACTAAATCTGGTAATGGAGGTTTAAGTAAAATGTTCTTGCTTTGTTTGCTGGAGCTTTCTAGAATCTTTCAGAATATGGTAGTACAGACTACTATTCTGTACTGTGTGCACTGTGTGTCCATACGTGCATGTTAGCTAAGCATGTATTCTGTGTATTGCTGTCTCATATTGGTCATTTTTGGGAACCTGTAATATGGTAGTACAGAAATTCTAAAAAACAATGTAATGTAAAATAGTTAATATTTTAAACGGTCAGTTTTCACTTTGTGATGGCCGACAATATTTTAGAATGTTCTACAGCTCTGCTCATCATTTTAGACACAACTTTAAAAAATGTACAGCTCATCAGAAACCTATGAGGTTGTAGACTGCTGACCGTGCAGCCTAACTCTTCCATACTTCTGTGCTTTTGCAGTGATATGGAGAAACAGAAGTCGTCGCTGCTAGATGCTCTGTGCAGGAAGGGCTGTGCTCTGGCTGACCAACTTATGCAGCCTCCAGCCCAAGAGGGCGCCAGTGCGAGTGAGGTGGGCAGCTCCGATGAAGACCCTCAGGGTGTCGCTAAAGCCCTGAACGACACTTTCTGGGAGGTGCAGAAGTGGGCTGAGCTTACTGACTCCAAGGTAAAGGGGACCAAACAGACATTTTCTCTAGGATTATAGAGGATATTTGCCTTTTGTCAGTACTCAGTGTACTGTCTAATAATCATACGGCCCTTCATAAGGTTTTTTGTTTCCTGTAACCTGTATAGTTAATAACTATAACTGTACCTTTAGAATCATGAATAGGACTAACCCAGTGCTGTCAACATTCTTTATTCTGTACTATTTATTCCTTAATGGAAACAGAGGACTTTTACTATAGACTACATTTACTGTACATTTGGTTTCCATTCTATTATAGTCTGTTACATCAGGAATGTGTCAAGTCAAATTTGTCATAGTCTTGTTGCTGAAGAATAACAGTCATATTAATTATTTGAATAGTTATTGCTAAAACTTCATATCATGCCATTTTATTTTTTTAGTAATCTTAAAGCTGCATACCAGTGTATTTATTTTTATTGCCATTTTCTATCTACAGGTTTTGACATTTTCCTACAAACATGCCTTAGCAAATAAAATGTATGGAAGAGCCTTGAAATACACATCTAAAATAGTAGAGGACAAACCCAGTAAAGAAAACTGGAAGAACTGTATCCAGGTAGGACATTTACCTTTGTATCTCCTCAATCTTTAAATATATTATTACTGTTATTTTATAGAGCTGCCCGAATATTTTAAGTAATTTGTAACGTTGGTATTATTTTTTCTGTTTGATTTTTGGAAAGTTTGTCACAATGTACTGAACCATATTACTTCATTAATTCATGCCACACATTCACATCACCTCGCCTCGGAGTGCAAAAACTACACTGCTTTCCACATGGCCATTCCATTAGATTTTCAACAATTTCTGCATAATTTAATGATTGAGGCGTAAACAGTCATTCAGAGATGTGAAATGGTTCATTGTAAAGAATCTTAGCAGCTCTGATGTCTTTACAGTGGTCATGATGGGAACTGGGCGTTGAGATGTCTACAGTGCAAATATTGCCATTTTATTCACTATCCAAAACCACAGGGGACCTACACGTGTCTTCTGTGTCTTTAGAGTTTTCTTTGGGCATTATTTCACCCTGCGTGTACCTCTCTTCCTTGAATGGACTCTTAAAATACAAAAGAAAATATTTTAGGCCAAAAGTCCAAACTATCGTAAAACAATGTCTTAGACATTGCAAATTCATCAAATTCACTGCAAATTCATAACCGTTTCATGTTAACTTGTGATGTACAACTGTGATGTAGCTTTTAAAGACATTAAACTCTGACTGTAAATTTCTCCAGAATGGAAGCATTTCACATCGAGCAACTCTGAATATTGTTGGTTGCATCTTAAAGATTTAATTATGCAGACGTTTTTGTGGAATTCTGTAGAATTACCTTTTAAAAACAAATATTTGATAATAAATATATTTTAAAATGAAAAGATACGTAGGACTGTTGAGTCTGTCTGTGTTAGAGCTCTAATTTGAGGCAGTTATGTCAGTTTTAATTATCTGGTACAGTCCACAAGCTTTTCCTGCTGTTTTGGATTGCTAGCCAGCCTGGTCAGTGGTTCCAGGACCCCGAATTAGCATTTTGTGCTACTTGCTATGACAGTAATCATGTATCAGTTATGTTTTTCCATTACCTTGTTTCATTAAAATCATAAACATTGAAAAATGACCAGCAATCCATATACAAATGTAATTAAGAATAAATAATAGTAGTAATAATAATAATAAATAATAATAATAATAATAATAATAATAAAAAATAATAAATAGCGATACAATTTTTTTGAAACATAACTTGACTTTTTCTTATTACAATATTTGAAAATTAAAATATTTGTTAGCTGCAGTGCTATTTTGGAAGTATCAGTGAGTATTTAATGCCTGTAAAGTGTTGTTTGGACCAACCCTTATTTCCTATTTTAATTGTACTGCCCCTTCTCAAATATTTGTTTTGTGATTAGTCATTTTGCACATATGCAGAATATGCAGAATGAGTTTAGGAAAGTTAAAACTTCACAAGTTTCTTGACAAATTAATTTTTGTTATGTTGCAGTTGATGAAGTCTCTTGGCTGGATGCACTGCGCCTCCTACACTGAAAACTGGCTTCCCGTCATGTACCCCTCAGACTTCACCCCCTTTTAGGAAAAGTACACGGATTCCCCAATGCCCCGTTTTCCCACATGACCCCAGTGCACTCTGATACACCTAACGACAGGATGCACGCCTGTGAATGCAGTACCGTGTTTCAAAGCTGCCTTGTTTGGAAACGACCACCTCTCTTCACATGATCCTAACTGGATCCCACTATGCCTTCCTTGGTGCAGTGTCACTCTGCGACGCTGTACATCTCCACCCTGTCGAGGACTGTCCTTCACAGCATGTTCTCAAGGGACACAAAGCTTCACATTTCAGCCCCATACCACAACTCCACAACTCCCCAGCTCCCCAGCTCCCCAGTTTCAGATTCCTCCCTGTCATCCGTGCGTAACGACACAGCTCCTCACTCGTTTGGTCACACTTGCGTGTAAGAGGTGACGACACCATTTCCTTTCTTTGTGTCCTCCGTTATCACCAATGTTACGATATGTTTTGGGGACGGAGCTTCTGCTCCTTGGACCTTTTTCCCCACCTCATCCATCAAACAGAGAGTGTTTGAAGTAGACACGGTTCCAGAACTGCTCCTCGGAGCCCTTTTTGTGGTTTGGAGTGCCAATTGCGTTGCTTTCTGTCAAAGATACAGCAAGAGTAGAATGTCTGAACTGATGTGTTGAAATGTAGAAACAGGTATCATCACGCACATGACTTTATCAAGGCAATATGAATATATGTAAACCTAATTTTCCCTCATATACAGTATATGTACAATGTATGCATGTTTTTATAAAGCTTAAAATATTAGTTCTGGCTTGAAAGCTCAGCTTTCAATCATGTATATCGAGTAAATTGGACTGGGCTTTTATACTATCGAACGAGTCCATGTCATGCCTTTTTAATGAGTGTGAAATTACCAAGTATAGCTGTCTTTGTGCGGTTTGTTGTGTGTGGGAGTGTTTGTTAGTGTACGAGTGAGTGTGTCTCTGTGCAAACTGTTAATTTAGGTTGATATAATTTTGGTTACATATGCCTACAAAGTTTACCTGGCACACTAGTCCTCTTGCTTTTATGTTTTCCTTAAAGCCCCAGTCAGGAATTTGAACGAATGATGGGCTGGTTTAAGGTATTGCAAAAAAAAGGCTTTTGAACCACATCACTGCTGTAGTGTAAGTTTGGAGTCCATATGTGTTGACAAGATACCTTCATTTCCAACTCATAGTAACCTCTTATTCTTCATTTGAGTTCTAGAAAGCTGGATTGAAGGGTTAACAGGATGTCTTTAAGCTCAGTTTAAGGAAATGCTGGATTGAGCTGGACTCCAAAGCCATCAGGGTTAAGTTTAGATCTTAAATTAAACTGGTTCTCTTTCTAACCAATAAATCGAACTTCATAAAGATCCCCTCAGGTGATCTGTACTTATGCAACGTTAGCTTGGTCTTGATCTTTCTGTAGGAGAAATGCTAATATTTTCCAGGGCAGCATTCTGAATGGAGATTCACCATTAAAAGGAAAGCAGTCCAGGAAAAGTGATCATCTCTGTACAAAAAAACCCTGGGTGGCCATTTATTTTGTTGGTACTGTAATACAAACTTATTAGTGTTGACTGTTCCATGTTTACCTCAGCGCTTCCTTAATTTGAGCCCAAAGTTATCTTGTTAAGCCATCAATCCAGCTTCACAGCATCCAAAATCTACTGGTACACTCAATGCAGAATTTTAAGGCAGCTGTTTGTTAATTGCTCACTGGGGCTTTAAGCTGAATTCTTTTTTTAAAGGTATGTAAGTTTACAAATTGTCGTCCCCACGAAAGTGGTGTTCAAACGGGAATGATGGTTTTAAGCTCACAAGCCAGCAATATATCCTCAGTCTTTTATATGACCATAAAGAAAAGTGTCAGATTTGTAGTTGAGGCTAAGAAATGAATGAATTTGAGAGAGTTGGCATCAAAAAAGGAGCTGTTTCCTTGAGACTTTGTTTTAGCCAGCAATGGTCACAGTTTCCACAAGATCTTATACCTCTCTAAGAATATTATGAATTTATTATTTTCCTGAGATGGTTCTTGCATTGGCTTATGTGCTAAAGGCATTCTTTCTTCCTGTGTCCCTCTTGGTCTGTGTACATTTTTTTATTTTTAATCTTTTGCTTTGGAATGACATTCAGGGTTACGCTGGCAGGACTTTGCCAACAACAGTTTCCTCGATAATGGCCTTAAAAATGTCACGATCTGCGAATACCGTCCGCCTCTGAGCACAGTCAGGGGTCTCATATCACTCGCTTGCTTTGTCAAAGACATTAGGATCTATTTATGGATGTCCTGTATTTATAAAGTTTAAAGCAAAAAGTAGGTAATGCCAATATTTTAAAAATATAGTTTTAATTTGAAGCCTATGATATGTGCTAGTATTATTTTATAACCATTATTCCTCAAGAGATGTATGGAAAGTCATGACAAGTTATTTTGTTATCATGGTAAATGTTGGGAATTATGTGATTATGATGGAGAAAATTCTGAATAAAACTATTTGAAACCAAAAGTGCCTTAATGGTGAGCTCAAGTATGTATGAAAGAATGAGTAGGTACTGATTTATTGGATGATATTAATCTTTTTTTGTGTGAAAATATAATTTACACAACATTTTGTTTAAAACAAACTTTACAAATCTCAGTGGCTTTGTGAATTGAGTTTCTGAAGATATGTTAAATATCAGTTCTTGCAGTTTAATTTTGGGAATGTTTTGTCTTTTGTGGATATTTCATATCATTGCTGTCCAAAAAAACCCCCAACATGGTAACTACTTTGCATAAGGCAAAAATGTCCATCATTAAGATGTAAACAGTCATTCAACATGGTTCGATGCTAGATGCATCATTCTAGAGACAGAATCATTCACAGTGGTGGTGATAGGAACCAGATATCTGAAAAGTTTAATGCCTCTAAAAGCTACCTCACAAACTTATTGCATGAAATAGTTATGAATATGCTGCATAACTGAGATATCAGCCCTATTCAGACAGTAATACACTTACGCAGAGTTCTGGGAGAATCTCTTCTTTTACAGCTGCTCTGTGATTTTATTTCCATATTATCTGTTTTCCTTAAACTAACTCCAGCAGCAATGCTGTGTCTGATCCACTCGTAGCAGCACAACACACCCCACCATATCAGTGTCGCTGCAGTGCTGAGAATGATCCGCCACCCAAATAATACATGCTCTGTTGGTCCTGACCATTGAAGAACAGGGTGAAAGAGGGCTAACAAAGTACAGTATGCATAGAAACAGAATGACCAAGTTTGTAGAAATTACAGCCCAAAGCTCCTCCTGTAGTGATTTCATTGCCTATTATTGTCTGGATGTGTGAGTTTTATCGCTGAGGAGACGTGTACTTTTCCTTTACAGATGTCTCACTCATAAACCAATCCAATCTGAACAGGGCTATTAATTTACAGTAGGTTTTGATAAAGTTTCAGGCTTCAATTAAATTTTTTTTGAATCCATTCTTGGAGGGGTACATGTGAAGTGTGTGCCAAAATAGTCCCCAAAGAAAACATTTTTTCAGATTTATCACAATTTTACCATCATCAACATTACTTATAAAAGCTCAGAAGACACATGTAGGTTCTGTGGTGGTTTTGTATAATAAATAAAATGCAATATTTGTGTTGTTGATATAGTAACTGTCACTACCAATGTCAAGAAACCAGAGTTGGTAAATTTCTCTACAATTAATTGTTTCACATTAAAACACTGAATAATTTTATTTACATCTCGAAGGATGAATTACACATAAATAAAAACAAGCACGTTGAATACAATATTTTATTGTATAAGACCATTTTTGGTACATTTCATCATGAGAAGTTCATACAATAGAAAGAGCAGCTGCTCAAATCATGTACAAAAATAAAAATAGGAAAAAAAGGCAATACATTCTTGCTGAGAAAAGAACAGCACAGATCAGCATGGAATGCATGTTTTCAGCACGTATTCTATGCTGGTCTAAAGCCGGTTCAGCTGGGCATACATGGTCATACTGGTTGACTAGCATACAGAGCACAACATATGCTGGTTTTGCTGGTGACGAGCCATGCTGGTCTATGCTGGTTTTTCTAGCAGGCATAGTTTTGATATGACAGTGATGCTATATTTTCCATCGCTGTCCATGAGTCTTTGCCATATATATCTCCACCTCCCCCATCTGTGCCAGCAATGTGGTGCTGAAGGTTCTTTTGAAGCACTCAGTGAAGGTGGTCTCGGTCTGAGTCCTCACTCTGTTGGCCCAGATCAAGGTTGTGCCAGGCTGGCAGAAATGGTGCATGGTGGCGAGCAGATCATCAAAGAGGTTGTGCTGATATACCACATCAGCTGCAAGGACAACATCATAGTGATACGTTGCACGAGGGAAGGACCGGGATAGGTTATTGTTCCAGGACAGTGCCTCCACTTGTGGAGCATGCTTGCTGAGTCCTCTTGTGTTGCTAGACAGGTTGCTGGACAGGTTGTCAAGGAGAGCTGGTTTATCTGTTGCTGTCACCCAGGCCCCTGCAGGGCAAAACCACAGTTTTCCCCAGCTGACCAGTCAAGACATTTGGTGTAAGCAAGTCTACCACAGATTTAAATAGGATTTTTATGATGCACTCTCAGTGATTTTTTATGACAGCTTCATGCTAAGATTTTGGATTAAAACATATTTTATAAAATCCATTCATGGTCAAGAGGTACTTGAAGAGCATTGTAAGGCAAATTAGTCCCCAAAGAAACATATTATCTCGAATTATAGTTCAGTGTAGGTTCACTGGTCATTTTGGATAGTATATACAATGGCAAACATTTGTTGCAAACATCACTATCCCTGGTTCCTATCACCAGCGCTGTAAACAAATCACAGTTGTTTAGTTTCTCTACAATGAACCATTTCACATCAAACCACTCTGGATGAGGTTTCCATCTTAACGATTGAGTAAAGCAGAATTTTTTTAAACGGTGTGGAATTCCCAAACAATTTAAAGCTGAGGTGAGTGTGTAATTCACAATGCCGATCACTGTGGAATAAATTTCTGTCACTTGTTAGCTACATTAGCCTCGTAGCTCCAGTGCAAGACTAAAGAAGAACACATCAGACACGAACTGTCTCAGCTGACTGACTGCATTTAGGCTAAAGAGGAAAACTGTGTACATTTGATTTGTTTTTTTTTCTGTTAATAATAACAGGAAAAAGCATAAATTGTGAAAAAATATTGCAACACCTTTTGTAAATAAAACACTTACCTAAGAGACTGGCCACAATAGACACCAAACCTGTACCTGCCCCAAGTTCCAATACAGCTTTACTTTTAAGGTTTATCTGCTTTGGATTGGTCTCCAGGAATTTACAGAGAGCCAAGGCCTGAAATCAGACACTTTGTTGTAACCAGAGAACATCATTACTTTCGTTAATTTCACTAACTGTATGACTCTCTCTGTAGAGTCACACATCCACAAAACTAAGTTTAGGACCAATATTCTTAGTAATTCTTCTTAATCCTGTCAAAACTCACTGCTGGCCGAACGGTAGGTCCATAGGGCTCAAAGCTGTCAATGATTCTTATTTCATGTCCAGCAAAGTAGTACCTCTCTTCGCAAAGCTTCCTGTCCATTTCTGAGACCTTTTGGTAGACTGACTTCTTCTTTCCTCTGTTACCTGAGAAGTGCAAAAAGCAAAGGTTTTCCCTCACAACATAATTGAATATTGACTTGTATTATAATTAGCAGTAAATGCCAAAGCATCTACACCATGGGAAGAAATCAGTAAGCATGCAGGATCTCAAAGACTCACTGTTAATAAAATCTGTTACTTCAGTTCTTGATTCATCTGCTGTCTCCTCTTCATATCCTTCATCTTTATCTGTAATTTCTGTTTCGAACTGTATATGACCCCTCTCATGCTCTCTGATGCTTTTCTGAGATTCCATGAAACATTCTGTCCTGTTCTCTTCTCTATCATTTATCGCTTGAACTTCTTCAGACAGTTCCTCTCCTTTCATTTCACCTCCATGTTGATTTATGACAACACCATTTCTTTCTTGAAGTTTTTGTGTCATCTCATTGTCTGTTGAGATATGATAATCAAGGTTCTCTTCTTCTTTAAACACAGTCTTATTAAGATTTGTTTTTTCAACTACAACTTCTTTCCTAGTTCCCCATTCTTTGGTGGTAGCTGAGTAAATTTTCAACTCATCCAACTCTGCTATCAGTGTAGCATGGAAGGCTTTCTTGAAGTTCTCAGTGAAGACCAGATCAGATGGGTAACAGACCTCATTAGCCCAGATCAGAATTGTGCCCCATTGGCAGAAATATCGCATGGTAACCAGTAGCTCATCCAGGAAATCATGATGGTAGACCACGTCAGCTGCTAATACATAGTCGTAATGGTACTCTGAGTGAGGGAACCTTTGCTCTAGTTCATGACCCCAGGACAGCGCAGCCACTTGAGGTTCATGCCTCCGATGGTGCCTTGTGTTCCAATTCAGGTTACATCTCAGACTACTCAAAACCTCTGGTAGATCTGTAGCTGTTACGTTGGCACCTACAAGTCAATTACACTATTTAGTATAAAGTCTATGCTTCACTGGCTTTGCTCTTTATGGTACAGGCACTTCCAGCTTAGTGATACTGTATAGAAGCTCACCCAGTAAAGTTGCTACAATTGAAACAAGGCCAGTGCCTGCTCCAAGCTCCAGAACTGTCTTATCAAGAAGCTTGATTTTCTGGCGACCAGCTGATGAGTCCAGAAACCTACAAAGTGCCAGTGCCTGCAAGAAGCAAAATCACGGCGACAGATTCATCACTATTGTTTTGATTGAAGCTATGAGACTTATTTGGGTTACTTTCCCAGTAATAAATATTCAGAAAGAAACATTTTTAACATGGCAAAGTTTCTTAGTTATGTACATGTGAAAACCCACCGCTGGCCTTCTCTGAACCCCACAGAAATCAGTGGAGTCCTCAAGACTGATTTCGCGACCCACAAAGTAGTGAATCTCTTTGCTCTGCTGGGGTACACTCTGTGTACGTGATCTATGGCATGCAAGTTTTCTATCTTCCTCTAGCTTTTGTGGTTCACCTGTGGAGAGGCAAGACGCATGACTGTTAGGAAATACTGGATCTGAATACTGAAGAACTGACATGGATTACCATGTATTGTAGCACCTGCTGTAGGTTGGAGCCCCTTGTTCTCTTGAGGTTCTCTATGATACTGTTCTTCCACTTCCTGCTCTATCATCCCATCTTTTTGAACTTTCTCCAAGGCTTCATTCTTTTCTTTCTCCTCGTGCTCTTTGTCTTCTCCACAGTTCTCTTCCTCCTTGTCTTTCCCTTCCTCTTCCTTTATGACTCTATTTACAGCGTTATTGTCATCTGAAAACTTATGTGTAGCCTTGTAAATCCGGACCTCATCCAACTCTGCTATCAGTGTGGCATTGAAAGTTTTCTGGAAGTTCTCAACGAAGACCAGATCAGACAGGTAGCGTATCTTATTGGCCCAGATGATTGTTGTGCAAGGCTGACAGAAATGATGCATGGTGACCAGAAGTTCATCTAAGAAGCCATGATGATAGACCACATCTGCTGCTAAAACATAGTCATAGGTATAAGTGGACGGTGGAAAGGTTTCTTCTAACTTGTGACCCCAAGATAGTTCCATTACTTGAGGTTCATGTCTCCGGACACTCCTGGTGTTCCGATTCAGATTACATTTTAGATTGCTCAAAATTTCAGGCAGATCTGTGGCTGTTAATCTGGCACCTACAGACAAATCACACAATGATTAGTGTAAGCATTAAAGCTTTGGGTACAAAACAAACGTAGATTGACCTACCAAGCAATGTGGCCACAATTGACAGTAGACCGGTGCCTGCTCCAATCTCCAGGACTGATTTATCTAGTAGATTAATTTGCTCCTGTCCTTCTGGGGTTTCCAAGTATTTACAAAGAGCCACCGCCTGAAAACAGCAAATAACTATTATCACCACTATGGCTACAAAGACAACATCTCTATCTTAGAACTTGGCATTGTTTCCTTGTTCTCAATCAAAACTCACCGCTGGCCATATCAAGGCACCATAAGAATCAATAGATTCTTCTATACTGATCTTGTGACCCAAGAAGTAGTGAATCTCTTTGCCAGGTATGTAGTACAATTTGGGTTCCCAAGCCCTCCGATTAGCTGACTGCCCACTTGTCTCCAAGCAGTCTGCATCAGCTAAGAAGAGACCCAAACATGTATATATATATCATATAGCAACATAATGAGTATTATGTTCAATTTAATTGTACTGACCTGATTTTTCCTCCATATGATCATTAGAAGTTGATTTGTATTCAATAAAACCCTGAGATTCCTCATCTTTCTCTGCACCTTCGGATTCTCTGTCCTTTTTTCCAACATACTCTTCTTGCTTGTCCTCCTTTTTCTGAGGCCCAAGTGCCTCATCCTCCTCTTTCTGAGGCTCATGTTCCTCATCCTCCTCTTTCTTTTGAAGCATTAAATCTTCACTTTCTCTCTCTCTTTTATCAACTTCTGTGTCCCCAGTGATACAACTATTGTTGCAGTCTTTTTCATTTGGTGTTTCCTTTCCTGCTGGATTCTGTTTATCTCCATGGTTCCCTTGGCTCTCGCTCTCTACTTTTGATTTTCTGTATTCCTGTTTTTTCACCCCTTCCTCTTTTTGTTGGGCTTCATTTCGCATTTCTTCATTGCTGTAATTGTGTACTTTTTCCATCCCTTCTTTGGTCATGTTTTCCATGAGGTCATCTTCCTCAATTAGTGCTCTGTAGGTTGCAGAGTAAATCCGTACCTCATCCAACTCTGCTATCAATGTAGCATTGAAGGTTTTCTTGAAGTTTTCAACAAAGACCAGATCAGATGGGTAGCGTATTTTATTGGCCCAGATGATTGTTGTGCCAGGCTGACAAAAATGATACATTGTGACCAGAAGCTCAGTTAAGAAGCCATGATGATAGACCACATCTGCTGCTAAAACATAGTCATAGTGATAAGTGGACCGTGGAAAGGTTTCTTCTAACATATGACCCCACGATAGTTCCATTACTTTGGGTTCATGTCTCCGGACCCCCCTCGTGTTCCGATTCAGATTAAATCTCAGATTGCTCAAGATTTCTGGCAGATCTGTGGCTGTTAATTTGGCACCTGCAGACAAATTACACAATTTATTAAGGATAAGGTATTTTGCTTTACATAGAATGCTTCAGTAACTATCCAAGCATAGTTTGACCTACCAAGCAATGTGGCCGCAACTGACAGTAGACCAGTGCCTGCTCCAATCTCCAGAACTGACTTATCTAGTAGATTGATTTGTTGTTGACCTGCTGGTGTTTCCAGGAATTTACAAAGAGCTACCGCCTGAAAAAAAGCAAATGTTAATGATTGTCATCACCACTATGGTTACAAAGACACCCTTTCTTTCTATCAGAAACTGGCATGTAAATGGTAAATGAATGGCAATTGAATTCAGTTCAATCACTGGTTTCCTTGTTCTCAATCAAAACTCACCGCTGGCCATATCATGGCACCATAAGAATCGATGGATTCCTCTATAGTTATTTTGTGACCCAAGAAGTAGTGGATCTCTTTGCCAGGCACGTAGTACATGTTGGGTTCCCAAGCCCTCCGATAAGCTGACTGTCCATTTGTCTCCAAGCAATCTGAAAAGTGACCCAAAGATGTATAAAAAATACAGCAACATGGTGAGTATCACTTTTTATCTAATAGTACGGACCTGATCTTTCCCCTGTATGAGCATTAGAAGTTGATTCCTGGGATTCTTCATCTTTCTTCACACCTGCAGATTCTCTGACCTTTTCACCAATGTACTTCTCTTGCTCATTCTCCTCCTTCTGAGGCTCATGATCCTCATCCTCCACTTTCTGGTCAAATGCTGCATCTTCACTTCGTCTCTCTTTTGTGTCATGTTCCATGTCCTTCTTGACAGAACCATTGTTGGATTCTTTTTCATTTTGACTTTCCTCTCCTGTGGGGTAATCTGCATGGCTTCCTTGGCTTTCACTCTTTTCCTTTGCTTCTCTGCATTCCTGTGTTCTCAGCTTTGCCTGCTCACTTCTCTTTGTTTCATTCCTGTAATTGTGCCTGTTTTCCATCTCTTCTTTTTTGTTTATGCTTTTCATACGGTCATCTTCCTCATCTAGTTGTCTGTAGACTGCCAAGTAAATCCTTACCTCATCCAACTCTGTTAGCAGTGTGACATTAAAGGCCTTCTTGAAGTTCTCAATGAAGACCAAATCCGATGGGTAACGAACTTTGTTGGCCCAGATCAGAGTTGTGCCTGGTTGACAGAAATATTGCATGGTAACCAGCAGCTCATCCAGGAAATCATGATGGTAGACCACATCAGCTGCCAGCACATAGTCGTAATGGTACTCTGAGTGAGGGAAACTTTGCTGAAGTTCATGACCCCAGGACAGCGCAGCCACTTGAGGTTCATGCCTCCGATGACCTCTTGTGTTCCGATTCAAGTTACATCTCAGGTTGCTCAAGAGATCTGGCAGATCTGTAGCTGTTAATTTGGCACCTATAAACCAGTTACACTATTTTAGTAATGTGTACAGTATCGTTTTATTTCTTAATAATCAGCTTCATAATGAGACATACCCAACAATGTTGCCACTACAGACAGCAGACCAGTGCCTGCCCCAAGTTCTAGAGTTTCTTGGTCAAGTAGATTGATCTGCTCTCGGCCTGCTGGTGTTTCTAGGAATTTGCATAGGGCCACTGCCTGCACGGAAAGATAAGCAAACTTATTATGATTATTTGGCTCATTTTGATCAGTTGCTGCATTATAAGAATTTCAAGAAAAATCACATTTTCTCATAACTACAAGTGAAGTTGATCATCCAAGACATGTTTAGGTGAAGTTTGCTTTAGTTTTGTACTGGAGATGTAATGGAAGCAAATACCCAACTAATTAGTATTGTGCAAAATTCCAGACAGGTTTCAACATGGTAGCTACTATTGTTGTTAGCTTTACTTCACAGTGTCATCAACTCAGCACAGTTTGAGGCAAGGCATGCAGTTAGCACACTGTTAATTGGTATGGTATAAGCTTCCAGAAGCCAACTTCAGACACCGGTATGCCTTGGCTGATCAAGTACTTTTTATACATTACATTTTTTGATGAATTATTTCTTTAAAGCAAGAACTCACTGCAGGCCATATCATGCCACCATAGGAATCAATTGATTCTTGAATAGTAATTTGATGACCCATAAAGTAGTGAATCTCTTTATTTAGTCTATAGTAGACACTGGGTGCCCAGGATCTTTGGAAGATGACCTGTGCATTGCTCTCTGAGTCATATGATGCACCTGTAGAGAGTCCACTTATTATCATCACATCATCCAATTCTGAAGTATATGAACACATTTATTTACAGCAAAAATGAATTGAATGAGAATTATATCACTCACCCAGCAGGCTGGCCACAATGGACACTAGGCCAGACCCTGCTCCAATTTCTAACACTGCTTTGTCCAGAAGATTAACTGTCCCTCGGTTCATGTCCAGATACTGACAGAGAGCCAGTGTCTGTGTTGTTTGAAAATAACTATAATTATAAAGTATGTCTGTCTGGCAGCAGCTCCGTTTATCTGCTTTGTCTTAATCAACTCCAGGCCTCTAGTAAGAATGCAGTGTGGCATGATTTCAAGGCAAATGCATGGCTTGGATTTGTGCCTGGACTACTTGATTTAACTTATCAGGTATTTATGAAGTGCTCTAGCTGAGCTAGGTTTGCCAAATCCTAAAGTGTGCAGTACAGGTATTCAAGATGGTCACTGAAAAACACTGGAATATAGATAGAGTGGACAGATTATTTCACACATTATATTTTGTGTATGTTCAATGTGATGCCTCACCGCTGGCCATATGATGCCGCCGTAGGAGTCAAGAGACTGCCAGATACTGATTTCATGACCAGCAAAGTAGTGAATCTCCTTATCAACTTTAATGTAGAAACTTGGTTGCCAGAGTTTCTGATGCACTTCTGAGTCATAAGACAAGAATAGAACTTGTTTATTAACACTGGCACAAATTTATGAGCTGTTTTTGCCAAAAATTCTTCACCCTGTTTTGCCAGCCATGAATATACCAACCTTGCTTCTCATTTTCTTCTTTTTCATCCTCGGTTCCCATGCTGTCCTCTTTCACACCCTTCTCTGTGCAAACTCTGTCCATACAAATGTCTTGGCACTAGTAGAGTATAATATTTTATTGATTAACTGATGAGAAGAATTTGCATGATATGATTTTAACTTAAATCTTTCAAAATGTATACTTTACAGATTATTAAAGTAAATTATAAGTAATATTTATGAAAGTTGTAATGCATGCAAAACATCATCAATAAATACATTCTAAATATTTGTAGCTTCAAATGATTCTGTTTAATCCACTATCTATAAAGAACACAAAAATTCATTAAAAAGAATATGAGTAAGAATATGAAATGTAATATGTCATATTAAAATATGTCTATAAGCATAAAAATCTTAAACCCATCAACAACAGCATGAACAGCTTAAACCCAACATGACAACAGGCGTTAAACTCCAAATCACTTCAAGAATCCCCTCAGAAATATTTCTTCAAATGATTCCACCCTAAGTCTGCCTGATTCCTATCCTCCAAAGGAGGGGTCACCCATGCCACACCTGCAAGTATAAGCAGTGTACACACCTTTAGTCAGTGGTTCTCCAGAAGTATCCAGGTAATGGTGCTCCAACTGCATCTTCAGGCTTCCTTAAGGCAAGGTTATAGAGAAACAGCATCATGTAAGACACTCCCAACATCACACGGAGCCTGGCTTATATTTAGAAATGGACACATAAAACAGGCATGCATATAGACATCCACACAAATGGAGAGAAAGAGAGACTGGAGATATTCGGAAGAACAGGAGAGTGCTTCTATTTGAGGAAAGTGTGTCATGATTCTGCTGGCACGACTATCATGATAAACATTATGGCTCAAGTAGGATGGTGGTAAATCACAGTGGTAGATGAAGAGATTGTGTCCTGTGGTTTAGATCACAGCAGGTCTATTATAGCACTTTTTAGCATAGAAATGTGTCAAAAAGGAGTCAAAGTACAATATGTTTCTTATGTTATATGCATAAAGAAGAAGGTTTTAGACGTAGATATTAATCATTGCATTTCCAGATCTGTTTTAAATGATTAAAGAAACCATGGGAGCAAACGCACACTAGTTTTGTCTGGATTCGTGAGGTCAGCACCTTTGATTTAAGCTTGTTTTGGTGGACAACTTTGAAGTCTGGTACACATATAATAAAACTTTGCAGCGCTTTTATTTTTATGCTCTGCACAATTGTTATGTGATTAATTGATTCTGCAGAAGGGAAACTCAATAGGACGGGCATCGCTTCCCCTTTTGGACCATTTGGAAATCTTGGGTAACCCTGACCCTCATCAAACCTCCACATCTCCTGTTTCCCTCACGGTGAACACGTCCCACAAAGCTGGCAGCCGATTTAACTGCCCTGTCGTGTTAGGTTGGGTGGTATGTGGGGGGCCTTGCAGAGGTGACATCATTTCCAGCCTTGCATGCCACTCTCTTGGCACTTGGTTCTGGCAAGCTGAAAATTCTGGCAAAATCTCTTTGTGTTTTGATACATTCCATCTGGAAAAAAAATTATGTACGTTATTTTATATACTTGGTATACATTTCAAATACATTGCAAGCCATGCTGAATAATTCAAATACATTTGAAAATGTATCAAAATAGCCAAATGCACTTTACTGTTTGGTTACCTTTGCTATGAATGTGTATTTCACTTCTTAATCTTAATCTTAATTTTGGGTATTAGCAATAAAACCTTTAATATGGCAAAAGCAATGTTGTAGGTATTGACACACTGTTTTGAATTGATATGTTGTTTATTATTTGTTGGAATACATTTTGTGTGAGCACCATTTTGGCCATTTTCGTACTTTGCAAAAATGTACTTGATAAAAACATTTGGAATATATATTTTTTTTCCTTTTGGAATCGATCTGGATGTTGAAGTGAATTGGTGTACGTTGAGTTTAGCATTCATAGAGACTACCTTCTTCTCTCTCTTACTTGTCTCTGTGTGCTGTACATGCACTGGAGCATGTCTATGCCCGCATGCATATATGCAGAGTACAGTGCAGTCAGCAGGATTCTGTTGCCTCCATTAATGTCATGATATGAGTATCACATGCCCTGCTCACTATATCATTAGGATTCCTTTCAATACATCCATTTAGTCTGACAGCAAAGGACTTTTTTAACCTACCAGATGTGTTATGAATCACAGCCTTAACATCATGACAGTGCTGTCAAAAATAAATAAAACTGAAGACTTTTATTCCTGAATGTAGGTTAAACAGCATTAGGCACGTCTCTGGGTTAGCACGCAGTACAGCACATCTGTGATAGCTTAGAAATTCATTACTAATGTCCTCAAAGCTGTTTCCTTAGTTCAGTGTCAGTCAGACAAACAGTTCATACATAAAAGACATAAACCATTGTAGTTTTGTCTAATTTTATTACCTGTAGAAATAAGTATGAGTGTGCTTGTCCTGCCATTGGCTGAGCACTACAAGACAGTAGTGTTCTACTGTCCAAGTTTCTTGGACATATTAAGCATGGTTCATGGTATCATTTAAAAGATAATATTTTTGCTTTCCTGTTCCATCAAAATGTGATGACTTTTGCCCACATCTAAAATGTCTTCTGATTAAGAATTATATTGACCAAAAATACCATGTTTTAACTCCTTCTCCCACCACCTCCAACTATCACGGAGTGAAACGCTCAGCTAGCTCAGAGACCCTCCTTGATACTCGGAAATAGGTCCTAGTACATGATTTATGATTCATGTTGACCTCTCTCTCTCTCTCTCCCTCTCTCTCCCTCTCTCTCTCTCTCTCTCTCTCTCTCTCTCTCTCTATATATATATATATATATATATATATATATATATAGAGAGAGAGAGAGAGAGAGAGAGAGAGAGAGATTTTTTCTGCAAAATTAAGTTTACAGTTTCTATTTATTTATAGAATTTAACATAATGGAAAAAAATGAAATATTAAATGAGCCGTATCTTTTGCATAGACCACATTTCAGGTTTCATTTTTCCCCAATATAATAAATTCAGCAAATAAACAGTAAATGTGTTTGAGAATGTGTAGAAGTGTGTTTTCTGCAGTGTATTTACTCATTTTTTTACTTAGAAAATCAACTAGACATATAAATGATGTCCTCTTCATTTTCTAAGTATAAAAATAAGTAAATACACTCGGGGTGCCCACACTTTTGCATATGACTGTAAGCCGCTAAATTATGCAGCGGATATTATAACATCCAAAAAGTCTATTTTATACAATTTACAAAGTATTCTGTCTTGTATTACAGAAAAACTGCTACAAATCTTGTTAAAAGATCAATTTTAGTTGTAACTATTAAAACTGTTGATGCTACAGAAAAGAATTGAAAAGGTTTTATAATCAGCTGCCATTTAAACTATGTATGATTGCAAATTTCCGCATGCATTTTGTAATAAATCACCATTTAAGTTGATGACACAATGACAAAGTACTTCTTAATTAAATGTATACTTTTGCTGTGATGGTGTATCAGTGGTCAGACACTGCATTTAATAAAAATACAGCAACAAAGCAATATAATTATTAGAATTAAACACACAGTGGCATCCACAAATACTGGCATCCCTGGTACACATGAGCAAAATGTGCTTTAAAAAACATTCTTTATTGCTTTTCTTTTTGATTTTTTTTAAAAAAAAACCCACATCTTATCAGGAAAGAAATATTTTTGTCAAAACTGTGATCTTAAATCATGTAATACTTTGTGCAGTCCTGCTGGAAGATCCAACGACAGTCGAATGTACGTGTCCTGGCTGAGGCAGTCAGGTCTTGACTTAATATCTGCTGGTACTGGTCCATGACACCAAGTATCCGAGCACATTTCAACTGTTCATTTACTTTCTTATAGCCATTTCCTGATTTGTGTAGCTCAACAACCTTTTGGCACATATCATTTCTGTATTCTCTGGTTGGCCTGTTTGTCACCACATATTTATATCCTATAAATTAAATGGTCTTAGCTGACCACTTGTCAGCTATGAAACATTAGTGTTTCTAATCACTCAAGTGAACTTTCAGACATAAAATATGAATGGAATATACTTTAGTTAGATTTCACTCCTAAGAATAGTGGTGCAAACAATTGTGTCCCATATAAAATGATTTGTTTCATGATGAGATTCAAGTCTTTTCTTTCAAACACTGTATAATGGTTAATATTTCTTACTATTTTTAATAAAAGATCATAAGGATAAGCAATACAGAATGTTTTTTTACAGCTCGTTTTGCTCATGTTTACCTGGGTGTCAATATTTGTGAAGGCCAATATTTATATATATACAGTGGAGTCCAAATGCCTGAGACCACTTTGAAAATCTGGTATGTAAACCTTCAAAGGTTCTATTTTTTACCCAATATCATTTATAATAAACATCTCTGTATTAAATTAGTAAGAAACGCAAAATCAAAGCATTTTCACCGGTGGTCTCAGACTTTAATGCACTGGAATTGACACTGGAAACATAGTTTCTTTAGCTGCCAACTGAGAGTTTACAACGCAAAGTTATAAACATGCCCACATTTAGCTGAATCTAACAGCAAGGATGCTCATAGACACCAGCCAGATCTCCCAACAAAATCAAAATTGTTACCGTTCTGGTGACATACAGTCCCGACAAACAGCTAAATGTCCACACACACAATAGATCCAGGACAGCTTCATTCTCAGTTCTACGCTGCAGCCCCAGACTGACTCTGTGAGAGTTTCTTTTGTGCTCTGTACAACTTAATTCGCAGACTGGGCAGGTCATAGAGCTCTTCCAAGTGAAAGCGGGTTTGAAATCTGTCCACAAAGCTGTTCTCAGGGTCCAGCCTGAACCTCATCGCCCACAGGATCACAGTGTCCTGCGAGCACAGGTGTTCAAACGTCTCCATCAGTTCATCGAGGTAAGGATGAGCGTACACCACATCAGCTGCCATGATGTAGTCGTAGTGACAGGAGGCGCGAGGGAAGCGCTCTTCCAGCTGCTGCCCCCAGCTGAGCTCCGTCACCTGGGGCTCATAGCGACAGCACCCCCTGGTGTTACGGCTAACGTTGTACCGCAGGTTACCCAGAACATCGGGCAGATCCGTGGACGTCACCTTTGCACCTGCAGGTTATAAATTGCACACTGACTCACAGATATGACAAATGATATCACTGCAGCATGAGATCAGTGCATGAATGGTCAAAGCACACCAAGATTCAATTATGCTCACCTAGAAGGCTGCATACTATAGTGACAAGGCCAGTTCCAGCTCCGATCTCGATGACGTTCTTGTCCATAAGGTTGTACTTTTCCCGATGAGTGTCAAGGAAATGACACAAAACCATGGCCTTGTTCAGAAAAATATTAGGGTGATTCTTCAGTTATGGACACATTTTATTGTATATTCGGACAGTAACACTATTTTTGTAATTTTGCCTCTGTGCACCACCACAATTAATTTGAAATCAAGCAGTCAAGATGTGATTGAAATGTAGACTTTTAGCTTTAATTCAAGGAGCTTAACAAAAATAGGATATTGCATTAATCATTTAGGAATTACAGCCATTTTTACATAGTTCCTCCAAGAAACTAAGGTGGATGATCACAGAATTCTTTCTATGGTGAAGAAAAACCCCTTCACAACATCTAGTCAAGTCAAGGACAATCTAGAGGAGGTTGGTGTATCGTTGTTAAAATCTACAATCAACAGACGCTTTCATGGATGTAAATACAGAGGGTGTAACCTCAAGATGAAACCACTCAGGAGGAAAAGAAGGACTTATGATCCGAAGCATACCACATCACCTATCAAACATGGTGGAGGCAGTCTTATAGGATGGGCGTGTGTGGTTGTCAATGGAACTGAGTCATTGGTGTTTATTGCTGATGTGACTGTTAATAGAAACAGCAGGATGAATTCTGAAGTGTGTAGAGCTGTAAGTTCTGCTCAGATTTAGTCAAATGCTAGAAAACTGATAGGACAGCACTTCACATTACAAAACATACCGCAAAAGCAACCTAAGCGCTTTTTAAGGCAAAGAGTTGGAATGTTCTTAAATGGCAGTCACTGACCTCAACCCAATTGAGCATGCTTGTCACTTACTGAAGAGAAAAATGGAGGCAGAAAGACCCACAAACAAGCAGCAACTGAAGGCGGCTGCAATAAAGACCTGGCAAAGAATCTCAAGGGAGGAACTCAGCATTTGGTGATGTCCATGGGTTGCAGACTTCAGGCAGTCATTGACTGCAAAGGATCTGCATCCAAGTATTAAAAATAATCCCAGTATTTATAATTATGTTAGTTTGTCCAGTTACGTTTGAGCCTGTGAAAATGGAGGGACTGTGTAAAAAATGGCTGTCATTCATAAATGGTTAATGCAATAGTCTATTTTTATTAAACCTCTTGAATTAAAACTGAGAGTCTACACATCAGTCACATCTTGACTGCTTCATTTCAAATCCATTGTGATGGTGTACAGAGGCAAAATTACAACTGCAACATACAAAACAACAAAACAACAAATTTTCTCTGTCCAAATACTTATAGACCTGACTGTATGTCACAACCAACTGACATTTCTTACTATTTGGAGAAAGTGATGGACAAGCACTGAACTTGCTAACTCAAATGTAAAATGCATATGTAAAAAAAGTTAAGTGGGGTGTTTTCTGAGCTAATATTCTCAAATATTGTTGTATCTGGTGATGACACAATGTGAATACTCAACTTAAATCTTCAAACTACATTTCTAGCCATCAAACACACGTTGTGTACTTCCCTTCACTTCTCATTTCCATTGTAACGAGTGTTGGGTATAGTTCAAAATTTTCCAGTATTGATACCCACATGGCCCCCATTAAGAGGGTCAAAAGGGAAAAGGTTTCAGGGGCCATGCCACTGAGGGGGATGGGGGGAGGGTGTCAAAACTAGTGTTTCAATCAGCAAGAACAACAGTTGAAGAAAATATTTTTTCCTAAACATTAAATTAAACTCCTTAGACCCATTATATGAACCAACTTCTGTGTTTTTATAAACTATAGCAAAAACTATTTTCTAAAAATTCATAATGCTATTAATAATTGTGAGGTGCTAGAAGTGGATCTTTTTACTGACAGTAAGAGATTACAGACAAATCAAGAACATCTGACATTCACCTGATGTTCTGACATTCACAACATGCATACAGAATGTACTTTAGACAGCCAATCAGCAGTCTGGATTTTAGAATAAATGCTTATTGGCTCACAGATGCTGATAAGACCAAATGCTTAATTACGGATAGTGGATACTGAACGATACAGAGTTTTCAGTACTACATAGTATTGAAATAATAATAATTGTTGGTAAAAGTACTAATTTGACACCCATCCTTAATTGTAACCACATAAAAACTGTTCAGTTGTTGGAGTAAATCATATTGCTCAAAAATCTTGTGATGGCAGTGACCAGTCATTCTAGTTATTGTGGGGAAAACACAAAGCAGAAATTTCTGTACTTTATTATAGAGAAGCGAGAACATCTGCACATTCAATGAATTTCTTCACACTTTCCCACACACATAAGGTCATTAATGAGAAACAATAGAAAGGGACAAAAGACCTGCTTTTCAAAAAAAAATGTTTTTTTTAATTAATTTTTTTTCTTAACAACAAATCAGATGTTTGAATAGTCTTGTGACCAAAATGAGACTTACTGAAGGCCACAGCACAGCACCGTAACAGTCAGTTGACTCCTTGATTTTAATCTCCAGGTCAGCGAAAGTGTATCCCTCCCACGCCTCAGTCTTGATCAGGGACGGGCGGAAATGCCTCTTCATAATAGCTGTGGCCAGCTCAGCATCTGGAGCAACATCTGTAGCAGTGAACAGTGGGAATATGACAGACTTTGTCTGAATTTGAACAAAAGTTAAAAAGGCCTCATAAAGCACAGCCACAACGTTGGTTCTACACTCATTGTCCATTTCATCAGCTCCACTTACCTTATAGAAGCACTCTGTAGTTCTAAAATTACAGACTGTAGTCCATCTGTTTCTCTGCATGCCTTGTTCGCCCTCTTTTACCCTGTTCTTCAATAATCACCACAAAGCAGGTACTATTTCGGTGGTGGATGATCCTCTGACGCTATTGTGGTGGTGGTGTGTTAGTGTATGTTGTGCTGGTTCGAGTGGATCAGACACAGCAGTGCTGATGGAGTTTTAAAACACTAAGTCCACTCACTGTCCACTCTATTAGACACTTCTACCTTGTTAGTCAATGTGAAGTCAGAAACAGAAGCTCATCTGTTGCTGTACAGTTTGTGTTGGTCATCCTCTAGTCCTTCATCAGTGGTCACAGGACACTGCCCACAGGATGCTGCTGGCTGGTTATTTTTGTTTGGTGGACTATTCTCAGTTCAGCAGTGACACTGAGGTGTTTAAAAACTCCAGCAGCACTGCTGTCTGATCCACTCAGACCAGCACAACACACACTAACACACCACCACCACGTCAGTGTTACTGCAGTGCTGAGAATGATCCACCACCCAGATAGTACCTGCTCTGTGAGGGTCCATGGGGGTCCTGACCACTGGAGAACAGGGTAAAAGGGGGCTAACAAAGTATGCAGAGAAACAGATGGACTACAGTCTGTAACTGTAGAACTATAAAGTGCCCCTATATAGTAAGTGGAGCTGATAAAATGGACAATGAGTGTAGAAACAAGGAAGTGATTTTAATGTTATGGTTGATTGGTGTATACTCTGTGTGCACTGCCCAAAAGTTGGCATATCTGTCCTTTTAGGCTTCTTTTAAAATGTAATGTTTGATGTAATGTTTGAGGACATATGAACTTTATTGACATATTCAGAAATGTAATGGTTGACTGTTACTTTGTAAGATAAAATACCTGAAAATGTTTTGTTAACATAAAACGCTTATTATATATTTTGCATTGACACTCAGCTTAATGTTCCTCAAAATATCTTCCTCTGTATGAAGTGCAGGTTTGACCTAAATAATGATTCAACATTTATCGTTTCCAAAGCGTTGCACATACTGAACTTGGTTTGGCCCAAAGGTGGTTTAAAGACTTGAAAGGTTTAAGTGCTGATGATCACAGCAAGGAGTAAAAATGAGAGAAAAGGTAGCACTTTCACAAACATTGTCACACACGTAATAATTTATCACGTTCCTTCAACCATAAATCATAAAGGAGCATATCCAAACGCTGCGCTGACAACTGGAATACTTGGCGTGCTGCTACTGTTGTTATGTTCTATTATTACACAGTGATGACTGAGCTTCTTCAGGCAATGACAGCTGCGGGATTATATAAGCAGTAAGACAGAGGCTCTATAATATGTGTACTGTTATTACAGCTTCACTTCCTTCATTAAGGCCATTGAAAAGGTTGAGAAAGCTTTTCCATGCAGACTCTAGACCTTGAATACACATTTGTCTGAAGTTTGCAGTTGTTTTTGTCAGGGTCTCTCTAAGACTGTGTTTTCATCACTGAATGATCAATATTGTCCCATTGGTGTTATTTTGGTAAAATAAAGAGTATACTCAGGAACAATAAAGCATATTTTGCATATATTCACAACTTTGGTGAGATCATTTAGTCTGTTTACTGTCTTAAATACTGCAAAGCACATTTCAGTCTTCAGCCAGAAGAGAGCTGCTAATTATCTTATCTGATTAAACACCATACAGCATTGAGTGTTTCCTTAGTCAACATCACGGCAAAGAAAGAAATGGCTCTTTTGTCACCCACCCTTAGCTTCAGTCTCCTTTGCAGGGTCCTGTTCCATGGCTGGACGCAAACTGTATGTTTTGGGATGAAGGTAGCTGGGGCTCAAAATGGAGTCTCCACTCTCTCCGTCCAGACTAGAGTGACAGACTTCCAATAAGGTGGAGTTTCAGATGACTAGGGACAGCCAGAGAAATAGGGCCAACCAGATACTGAAGGCCAGAAATACAACCTGATTGCTATGTCAATCATCTCATGCACACACACTCACACACCTGCTGTGTTAAAAGTATCACAGACATGATCTAGATTGATCTCCACAGATAGAAACCTTAGAACTGAATCCTAGATCGGGTTAAGAAAACAATAACTCCCGGGGTGAGATACAGACAACGTTAAATCTTCAGGCCTGGAGTGGATGGGATATTATGGCCTTAGATGGTCCTGCTCCATGTAGGTTTTTAATAGACCTCTCTGCAGGCTCAGTGGACTCACTATGTAGAGGGGTGGTCTGCTTTGTAACTTAGGTGTGCATGACTTGTCTTAATATATCTAAGCCATTGAACTGATGTTGAAAGGTCCACAATGATGAATTATGCAAAATTCATTCTCAGATAAAGGTTAACAGCATGATTGAAATGTGTTTGTGCGGTGCAGAATCATAGCCATGATACTGTTGGGCCACAACAATAAAAAGTAGAGCTGCAGCTGAAAACTGATTAAATCAATAATTAAAAAGAGGTAACACATCTCGTTATGGCTTTGAGCCATCTAACATTACATAACCCAGCTGGAAAGGGAACGTCTGTGACCAAATCTTAAGTTGGCTATGAAATCTTGAGTGGTTGGTAGGTCATTGCTATGGAAAGCCAGGGCTGCTAATGTCTCAGATAGCCAGCATATATCGGTCTGCTGGCTTGATAAGGTCGACACCCCGATAACTGTTTGCCACAGCTGGTCCACCGTCAGACCACCCAGATTACTGTCCTGCATACGTGCTCCAACTAGTTTTTAATCTCCTCAAACAGATTTTAAATGCACAGACTTTTATTTTAGAAAATACACTAAGACAAATATTACAAACAACTAAGACAAATGTCTAATATTAAATTATTTTTTAGAATTATTTTATAGAAAATGTAAAATTATTTAAACTAATTTACAAAATATAACTAAAGAAAGGAGAGAAGAAAAAATAAGTAAATAGGACTGTGAGTGTGAATTTAGCGATTGAATAATGGAATTTTGTCTGATACTCTGCTTAACTACAGGTGGGCAACTTGGAAACACTGCGCAAAACACAAGTGGACCACCAGCTCTGCCATCAGCAGGCCAACAATGGCCCACTATCCTTTTGCTATCAGGGATGTTGTTAGGCTGTTGCTATGGTGACCCAGGTGGTTAATAAAGTGCTGCTAGGCAGTGGCTATATTATCCCAGGTGGTTGCTAAGGTGTTTCTAGGGCATTGCTATGGAATGCCAGAGGTTGCTATGGTGTCCCAGGTGGTTCTAAGGTGTTGCTCGGCAGTTGCTATGTTATCCCTGGCGGTTGCTAGGGTGTTGCTAGGGCATTACTATAGTATTCCAGGTGGCTGTTAAAGTCTTGGCCTTTGCTGTTATCCCAGGTGGTTGCTATGGTGTTACAAGGCTGTTGCTTTATCCTAGGCGGTTGCTAAGGTGTTGCAAATCCATTTCTATAGAATCCCAGTTGTTTGCTAAGGTGTTGCTAAGCTGTTGCTATGGTACCCAGTGGGTTGTAAAGGTGCTGCTAGCTTATTGCTACGGTATCCCAGGTGATTGCTAAGTTGTTCCTAGACCACTGCCATGTTATCCCAGGTGGTTTTGAAGGTATTGCTAGGCCAATCTGTCAAGCCAACTTGATTAAAACACAAAGGTAGCATAGACAGTTTAAAGAAGGAAGTAAGTGGTACAACTATCAGGGAGTTATACAGTCTTATGCAAAAGTTTGGGTACCCTGGTCCAATTTTATGCTTTAATTCTATGTGTTAATAAAAACATAAAACATGACAAATTGTGAAGCATAATTAGTAGAAAAATGCCATATTCAAGTTTGTTCCATGTAAAGGATGTGTTAACTTATTTTCAATTACAAAATCAACAAAACATCAAATTTGACCAGGGGTCATTAGAGGGAAATAAATTGTTCCTTTATTGTTTTCGCACCTTTCACACTGAGTGAAACAGCATTTTAATGATCAAAGCAAGAGAACTGTGCCCTTGATAAAAGTCCTTTTTGTGGAAACACTATTTGAAAGAGGTAGGTGCAAAAAGAGAAATAATGCTTGCGTATGAAACATTACATATAACGTTAAAGATTTAAACATTAATAGTGACAAGCTAATAACTTAGTTTATGGCCTTTTTTCGTGACTGATTGAAATCATAATCAATTATGGAAATTATTTACAGCTCTGATAAAAAAGTAATGTAACACTCAGAAACTCTCCACTTTTTTTAACCACAATGGTGAGAGTGAATTTGTCCAATCACTGCTATACAATTATTCTTTTAGCAATAGGGAGCTATTGCTATAGTTTTTATACAAAATTGTAGAAAAATACACAATTTGACAGCGCACACAAATAATACACAACTAATATAACAGTGTAAATAAATTATATACAAAATAATCATTTGTGTAATTTATTGTAATTTAAAGTGAAAATTTGGCAAAAAAGCTAATTTCCCCTTAGTCCACATGCAGTTTATCAGCCAAGACATGTTTGGTGTCTGAACTTTGCTTCTTTAGTTTTGAACTAGAGCTGTGGAGCTAATGTAGCTAACAAGTAATAGAAACTTATACCCCACCAATTAGCATTGTGCAAACTGAATGTCATGCCAAAGTCTTGCTTATGTGGTTTCTGACACAGCCATCTTGTATTTTGTCCATGTACATAGATAACAGTATGTCATCCAGCGTCAGAAACCAGAAGCTTCCATTACTCATTAGCTTTTTTTCTTAGCCTTGTAGCTCCAGTGCAAAACTGAAGACACCAAACACATTTTGGATGACTAACTACATTTGGCACAAGAGGAACCAACTGATTTTTTGACAAACTATCACTTTAAAGCTAAAATTCATTTCACATCATAGGTTACTGTCCTCTTTTGCTTCTTAGACATACATAAATATTATTTTTAAATTTCATCTTTATAAGCTTTTCTTGGCCTTTCCCCTCCCACCTCGTCCTCCTCTTTTCCCTCTCCCTCTCGTCTTCCCCTCAAACACAGAGCGTGCGGTGACCATGGCAGCTCCATAGCTGTTCTCACGTTCATCCTCTGAGCTCGAGCTGCTGCTGACGGACTCCACCTTTGAGGGTTTGCTAGGTTGTTTCCCCTCCAGAACAGGCTGCTCATCTTTTATCTTGTCTTCCAGGATGTCGGCGTAGACGTCTGAGCCAATAAAACCTCCTCCAAATGCTCCTGCAGGTGTAATGTCTGTGTCTCCCTCTTGTGCTTTCTCGTTCTTTCCCCTCTTGACCGGGGACACTTGTTTTTCATCTTCGTCGTTTTCCTCTTCTTTGCTCTCTCCTTCGCGCTCTTTCCTCTTGAGGCAGGTGACGGCTCTGCGCAGGCGCTGGCTGCGGATGGCCTGCTTCTCCTGCTGCTCCAAACGGAAGAAGGAGTCGATGCGCAGCTGCGTCTGCAGACAAAAAGCCATGCGATCATTGCAAAATGAGACAAAATGGCTCTATACTGTTCACTGGTACTTGTGAAGTATTAAGATTTGCAGTGCTGATTCAAGATCAGCTTCCTCTTTTCCCTTTGTTGATAATGTTCAGAAGGGCTAGGCAACACAGACAAAGACGTATTACAATATTTTTTAGCTCATCGGATATTGATAATAGCATGCATGCATTTTCTAATGCTCAATTTTAGGTCCAGATGGTATTATGAGAGAGAAAAGGGCTTATTCTGGTATAATATACAAAATGATTATCAAAATAGAATAAAATTAGTATAATAAGTGCAGTATAACAGATAAAGTGTGTTGGGAAATTAATATTCATAAAGCTACTGTTAGTAAGCATTTATTCTCTTGTTAGAATTTATATTAGAATAAATACAAATGATATTAATACAATAAGCAGTGTTTTATGTATGTTACTGTGTTTGTACATTTTTACACTTCTTCTCATGGCAGCCTGATATTATTTATAATTATCATCCAATACCTGGTTTCGCTCAATCAGTGCTTCATTCGGTTAAATCAGGTTTGCTGCTGATGAAATTTGACAAATCTATCTGATGACTGAAGGCAATCTGGAATCGAAACCTTTTTCTAACTAGCTCACAAAAAAATCCACTTTTTTTAAAACAAGAAATTACTTTTTTAATATATTACATCATTTTTTTTAACTGTTATATGTTTTTACTAGCAAAAACTGTTATAGCTCAGATAAACAGTTTTAAACAGTATGCTTAGGTGCCTAAGTTCTGTGTTTATATACTGTGTGTATATAGGGGTAAGTCAAAAAAAATGTAAATAAAAATGTAAAAAACTGTATTGCTGGTTTGTGTATAAGTGAATGCCAGACTTTTACTCCAATCCTGTCTAGTGAGTTAAAGCTGGGCATTGCCACCGAGTAAGCAGCCACTGTTCATCCTGAAACAACAGTAGCGAAATATTTTCAACCTGCTTTACCTGTTGAGTGTTGAGCTGTTTGAGCACCGGCTGCAGTGTCTCTTCTGTCTTCTTGCTGTTCCAACCAAAACGGCTAAAACAAAACTTAGACCTAGTTAAGAAACATTTTTACAATCTTGAAACTCATTAACTGATTTCCTCACATATACATGCACTTAATATACTGAGAACCATGACTAGTCTTATAGACAGCATGTAATCACTGCCACATATCCCAGCAAGGTTGTATTTGAAGGATATTCTTTGATTAGATGGAGCTGCAGGCGGCCCCAACTAAAGGAGCCCTCTGATTGGTCGACAGCTGGCTGGAGATAGGCCTGGGCGACAGCAGGGTTGGGGAACCCAGCATGTATTGTCAAGTTTCTCAGCTTTTTCTTGACTTTGGTGTCCTTAGGATTAGTGACCAGCTTCTTGTTCTTTTGAGCCTCACTCCACCATTCACTGCGGCAGCCAGAAGACACAGAGCGTTACTGCTGATCCACAATACCTTGTCTATTAAGTAATCAAAATGGAAGCTCAACCACTGTTTTCTAGTTGTGTTTGCATAGCTAGATCAGAATCAGAGCCTTTTGTTATTCACTAAGTACAAAGTGAATAAGGAGTTT